GCTATACTTTGAGAAGAAACTAGTTAACATCAATAATTCAACGCATTAAAGATTACTAATTAATACCCCAATCTCGATTACTACTAAAGACATGTAAATTTATCAAATATTAGATTATTTGCATGTGTAATTATTTTGCACACTCACATATGCCCTTATCAACATTTTTGACAGATTGAAAATTGTTTGAAAATTGAAAGTAAACATTTTTAAAAATTATTTTACTGAACAATATTTATCATTACACCTATTGAAAAGCATTCTTATAGTAAAAACTTTTGTTCTATACTTGGCATGAATTTATAAATTCATAAGTTTTTTTGCAAAAAAAAAAAAATGCCATCATAGAAGGATGGAAATAATTTAAAACAAAGTACGGGAAAATGAAAGTTGAAGTTGGTGATGAGTTCATAATAGATATAGCACCAAAAGGTTAGTCTAAAGTCATTAACTAGATCTTAACCATAAAACCACACTTAAGTCCCTGTAATTAACGCACATGCTTTTTTGGCAATATCGCAAAGATATTCTATTCTATTGGACCTAAATGTAAACTAAGTAAACCCAAAAAATTTATTTTAGGGTGCGCTTTGACCAATTTAACTATAGATTTTAGTGTAAGAAACTTCGTTTTTCTATATTAGAAAAAAAATTCTGGGGGCGCTTTGACCAAAATCAGGGGACATTTTGACCAAAATTTGGGGGCGGTTTGGAAACTTCGTTTTTCAATAAAATATGTCAGGGGGCGCTTTGACCAAAATCAGGGGACATTTTGACCAAAATTTGGGGGCGGTTTGGAAACTTCGTTTTTCAATAAAATATGTCAGGGGGCGCTTTGACCAAAATCAGGGGACATTTTGACCAAAATGTGGGGGCGGTTTGGAAACTTCGTTTTTCTATAAAATATGTCAGGGGGCGCTTTGACCAAAATCAGGGGACATTTTGACCAAAATGTGGGGGCGGTTTGGAAACTTCGTTTTTCTATAAAATATGTCAGGGGGCGCTTTGACCAAAATCAGGGGACATTTTGACCAAAATGTGGGGGCGGTTTGGAAACTTCGTTTTTCAATAAAATATGTCAGGGGGCGCTTTGACCAAAATCAGGGGACATTTTGACCAAAATTTGGGGGCGGTTTGGAAACTTCGTTTTTTTATAAAATATGTCAGGGGGCGCTTTGACCAAAATCAGGGGACATTTTGACCAAAATGTGGGGGCGGTTTGGAAACTTCGTTTTTCAATAAAATATGTCAGGGGGCGCTTTGACCAAAATCAGGGGACATTTTGACCAAAATTTGGGGGCGGTTTGGAAACTTCGTTTTTCTATAAAATATGTCAGGGGGCGCTTTGACCAAAATCAGGGGACATTTTGACCAAAATCATGGTACGCATTGACCAAAATCTGGGAACGCTTTGACCGGGACGGTTTTCGTGGGGAACGGTTTGACTGGTTCCCGATTGAACATGTCTTTCATTCCGTAAACATATTGATAAAAGTTGCTCAAATTGTTCAATTTCATGTTACATTATCTAAGTAGGAGTAATTAATCCTTTGAAATTTCAAATTTAGCCCATCAATATATAAAGGAGAACAAAACTATCAGGTGTATAATCTTTGTGTTTGATTGTAATGTGGTTGAAATGGAATTAAGCGACAGGGACATTGCACAATAAAAAATATTTATTATCACAAAGAAAATGTATTTATTGTTATGAAAAGAAATATATATGATACAAGGTTTAACTTATCAGAAAATTTTTACTTGAGAATCAAAACTATATATTAAACAGAGGGGATTCAGCATGATATTTGCCTCGGCGACAGTAACGTACATTTCAAATAGGCTACTATATTTGAATTTGGAACTCCTTAAATACCCTTTCAGATCGATAATTATATGAATTCTTATTCATTGTTATATGACCATTTATAATGTTGATTTAAAAATTGTATCAGTGGTATTTCTTCTAAATGAAAATGAGGCGACAGTATTTGAGCCCTTATATTGAGAATGGGTGTAAAGTGGGAAAATATGCAATACCTGTATAGAGCTCTGAATGACGTCTCTTTGCAATAATAGGACGACAGCATGATCAGAGAAAATATATCATAACATCAGCAATGTCCTTTTCAATGTAATTTTTACATTTCCAGATATCATGTGAATTGAATTTGTTTGCGAAGGCTATAGGGGGAGGGGGAAGGTGGAGGAGGAGGAGGCATGCGATTTTTGGTCTTTAATTTGGATTGTGAAAAAAAAAATAACTGATTCCACACCATAGGTACTTGTTTCGGTAATAATATTTTAACCTTTAGTTATCATTTTTAATCTATAGCTAGTAATATACTATGGGTTAATTTTTTTTTTTTTACCGAAACAAGTATTATTCCTATCCAAAAACAGAAAAATAATTGTTCTTCTAAAAGGAATATTTCTATTATAGTGCCTAAATCAGTATATAATATTTGCCATGAGACAAAACTTCACACAATGCACATTTTTAATATTTTAATAAAATAATTTATTTTAAACTCATTTAAAGGCAGAGATTTTTTACCGGGTGGTAAATTCCAGGTGAGGGAGGGGCTTATTTTGTAAAGGTGTGAATGCCTTGGGGGCTAGCAGTCTACCTGTGGTCATCTGTCTCCTAATCCCTATACACAGGAAGTGGTTTAATACACAGTGAAATACCCAGATGTCAAACCTTACCTGTGTTGGGGATTTTAAGACAATTCTAAATTAGAAGTAAAACGTTTTCTCGATAATCTATATTGAATTATTTTTGAATGTTTGAAAACACTCCTATACATATTTAAAAAAATATTTTGATATTGTATAATGAATTCAATTAAAAAAATAAAATAAAATAAATAAAAATTCAAATATGAAAACAAAAAATGTCTAATTTATTCTGAATTTCTATAATTTATTTTAAACAGGATGTCATGATAATGGGATGTATAATATACAATAGCACAGTAGGGAGCGTTTTATTTATAATATAAGTACGTGATATTGTACAATAACACTAACTCTTTAGGCCCAAAGGTCCTATCTTTTAAAATATGGAGATTCTAGATAAATTTCGATCGAAAGCAGACACATGTATACATGTCCCCAAAAAGAATGCTAGTAAACGAAGCTTGATAATCGATCCATAAGAATCAGAGACTGATATTTTCTTAAAAGGGCATTATTAATTTGTTATGTATTTCTGTCCTTTTATTGGGTGATGAAGACTGCATTTATTCAAAAATCATGGTTCCATGGCATCAGTGTGATTTTAAAAATTTCTGACTCAAGTAGTAATCTATTAATAAATCTTACGTCACATTAAGGTGGTTGAATTTCATTTAAATTGGAAAATGTTTGGCAGATGAGGTAAGAATGCCATTGAGGGAACAGAATAACTAACAGCCTCTTCAAAATTCACATTGTGTTATCCTCAGAGATTCTATAGATCTTATTTTTAAAGTATATTTTTATACCATATACGAAATCAAGAGAAGTTAGACATTTTCCCTTTGGTGCCCCTTGTCTGTAAGTCCAAACTACTGTCTTTTCTAAATAAAGGAGAAAATACATTTCATTCTTTCGTAAGCAGTAAATAGAAGCTTTCAATGGAGTATGAAATTGTCTTAAATAATATAATACTGTACATAAATGAGTAAAACTGAATAAGACAAAGTGACAAATACTACTAAAAAATTGTATGAGCTTTTTAACCTTAAAAAATCGACGTTTCAAGGTACGTTGAATTCTAAATATAATTAAACTGAACATATAATTTAATGAATCTTTCAGGTTGTCATTTAAATAATACATTTTAAGGAAAAATGTATAATAAAAGTTAAGTGATTTAATTAATGGTGTGGATCAGTTACAAGGTCGTCAAATGGAGGTGTGTTGGATATGCAATCGTTTCTACCCTTTCTGGTCAACAAATTAAATACATTTATAGAAAACAAATTAAAACCTTATTTTCAGTAAAAAATGTTTCTTTCCAAAAAATCAGTTTTAATATTTTCATCACATGTGTTTGAATTTAATGTTATACAAATATCCAAAAATTGCAATTTTTTAAGCAAATAAATAAAACTTGAGACATTTCACTTCAATTTAAAAAGTCCATTTTTATTTTATGGTCCTGGCGGCTGATATCGGCCTTGGATCATGCTGCTGCTGATACGTATGGCACGCCAAATTCACAAAAATGAGATAATCTTTCACAGAAAAATGGTTTATCAAAGACCATAAAATGAAATCAAACAATATTTTCATCACATGTGTTTGCATTGAATGTTATACATGTACAAATATCAAAATTGCAAGTTTTAAGCAGATAAATAAAACTAGAGACATATTTCACTTCAATTTAAAAAGTCTATTCTTATTTTATGGTCCTGGGGGCTGATATCGGCCTTGGATCATGCTGCTGCTGATATGTAAATACATGGACCTACTATCTTCAGGGGAGTGGGTGTTTAACAGATTTTTTAGACATGCAAGATTTTGTAAAGTTCTCTTCTATTTAGCGGCGAAGTCAAGTATCTGTGCGATTTGAAAACTATTAAACGAGTTGTGCCTCCAGCCTTCAAGCCTTATTTAGAGTCCATTGATAGAAACAAATGTACGTGTCATTTTCAGCTTGCATTCGTCTATTTGATCCACCCCTTACGATATTGCAAAATTATTTAGGAGAAATTAGAGTGGTGGGCCTTTAGATATTCCTCCGAGGTAAAAATAAAGTGGAACTACTTTCTTTCAATGATAAATAGCACAACCTCTGAAATCTCACAGTTGAGGTTTGAAATGTTTTGTTTTAATGTGTCATTTGTTTTGCCCATGAGATTTTGTTTAAATAAACACAATTAACATAGATACAACAGACGATTACCTCTAGTTTTTAACTTATTCGATGAAGTATTTGCCTTTGGATCTATATTTTGATGCGTAGAAATACAATGCAGTTCTACTATATATATCGAGGTTGTCGATTTGCTATTAGTTGTCATACGGACAACGAAATCTAGCAGATCTACGTTAGTATAATGTTTGATATTTTCTATTCTATATTTAGAACCGACATATATAGGATTGCAGATTATGTCAATGAAAGGTATTGCAAGTATGATAGTGGGCCAAGTGCAGGGTGACAATTTCAATATTAGCCCAGATGAAATTATTTTCCATAATACGTCGGACTCGGCCTCCGTTTTGAGGGAAAATGGCAGCCCCCGTGAATGTCAACAAAGAAAAGACACTCGTGTGGAGCCCTTAGGGGTAGAAAACAACAGTGAGGCACTCGAAGGGAGCGAGTCTGACAACCATTGTGATTCAGCAGAGAAAAAGAAAAGAAGGAGGCGATTAAAGGGTGGAAAACATCACCGAAAATGGAAGCCGTACGAAAAATTAAGCTGGAACGAGCGCCGTGAACTGGAAGAAAGGGAAACGCAGCGTGCAAACCAGAAACGTGAGGAGGCGTTTGCCAGTGGCCACCCGGTGGCGCCTTATAATACGACCCAGTTTCTAATGGACGACCACGGAAAGGGGGATCCAAATGATGGATTACTCGATCGGAATAATTCTCGGGAATCGATCGATGGGAGCGGATCCACCAGTGAATCTTCGGAAGAAATGTTATCCGAGGAGGAAGAATTTTTGGAGAAAGAATTTGAGGAGACCTACGATAATATGCACGCAGAGAGGCTGCAGAAAATGAGCAAGGACGAATTAATTAAGGATTACATCGAGATGGAAACGAAGTTGGACAGACTACAGAGGCGGTTGGAGCGACGCACCAGACGCAACAATGATACAGCTGACGATAGTTCCGGTTCATTGAGCAGCGGCGGCGAGGAGTTTGTTGATATGGACGTGGTGCGAAAACTAGAGGCGGAACAAGAAAAACTGAAAAAGGAAAACGAACATTTGAAAAAAGAAGTGTTGAAAATGACAAAGAAATCCAGCTGATAGCTCTTTCAATTTTTTGTTACACTTTTATAGGAATCAATTTGAAGGCGAGTTATGCATTTTTTTTTTTATTAAAATTGAAAAACGTATTAAAAATATTATTATTATTAAATGCATTTTTAACAGAAAATGGGATGGATTTTTTTCTCCCTCTTGATAAAAAATTAACAAAATTTTAATGCAGTATATGATCAATACTTTATATTTTTTGATTTCCTTGAATAAAGCTAGAGGTTCAATTTTGTTATTGAAAGAGATCAGGGAATAAGTAGTTATAATTTTTAACAGGACTTTTAAACAAATGGAAAAAGTCCTCTTCCAGTCTGAATTTCTTAAGAATTTTGCATTGAAAAGGGAAAGAGTGGATCAAGTCACTTCTATGTGCAGCAAATATGTGCCATTTACTTTGTGTTCATAAAATCATGGCATTATTATTTTTTCTTCAAAATCATATATTTTTTTATGATTTTTTTTATTAGAAAAAAATTGAAAATATGAAAAAAAAAATTCAATTTGATCTCATAACTTTTTAGTTCTTGAAAATATTAGGTTATTTTTAAATGTTTTTGTTATATTATTATACACTTATTGTTGATATCTATTGAAGCACGATATTTGTGAAAACATGGTGTACCACAATGTCTTTCCTTTTTCAATAACATTTATGCATTAAATGTTAAATCATGTATCCTGTAAAAGTGTTGATGGTATGCTTGATATAGAAGAGGAATGGTAGGGGGCATGAATTTTTTTTTGGGGGGGGGGGGGGGAGACACTGCCATTATTAAATTGAATATATGGAATATATAAAATATCTTTCAAATCACTCAAAATAAAATGACAAGGATTTTATTTTTGCATTCATTTGGATAAAAAAAATTATAATAATGAGTTTTAAAGTTAATAGCAGCTGTCTCATGAAATATCTGTTTTGGTCAATGGCCATTGTTATGCAAAGATTTGTATAGCCATCAATGGCTTTTTTTCTATTTACAAAGGTATTCGTTTCTTTATAGCTGATGAATGACTGAATGTGTACATGCTTCAACTTTTAATATTTTGGTCTTGATCAATCAACTACTACTAAATATGGTTGAAAAGTCCCATTATCTAATATGTGAAGGATTATTCTAGTGTCCTTGACTTTATAGACATACAAATTATTAAAATAAAACTTGTGAAATAAAATATGGGACCAACTATGGTAAAATTTATTGAAATATTTGAAATGTGGTGCATGAAAAGATGTATACTTTGTATAGTGTAGACTTATTTTACATGCATTTTGGGCATTGAAGAAATGTTTTGGATTTCTTGATAATGTTATATGTTTTAATAAAAAGGAACATGAAATTATATTGTTGTTTCTATCCTATAATGTCTTTCAGATGGTAAAAAGGTAATAACCAGTGATGCTAATAGTCTTTCAAGTACTGACTTGAGTATTTATACACAAGATATAAAAAAAGGCATTTCAAAAAAGGAGAAAGAATTGATCTGAAAGTTGAATAACTATAAAGCCACTGTTGGAGTAAAGCTTATTAGAAAATACCCCCCCCCCCAAAAAAAAAATACCAGAAGCTTTAGAGGTTTGTATTTGGGGGGGATTGCACATTGATAGGAACTTCCTTTCTGTTTGACAGAATTTTGTTTGGATGATTCCACACTTGTGCAAGTTTTATTGAAATCAAATTGAAATTGAGTTGCATTTTGAAAGATTAAAAAAAAAGTTATTTATATTTTTTATAACTATTGCAACATCAATAAATTCTTTAACCAATAAAGAGAGCTACAAGACAGTATAGTATAGGAATTTAGGGGAAATGGATAGAAGTTATGAAAAAATTAAATACTGTCTTGAATGCTGTGTGAAGCTCCCATTTGTAACTGAATTTCTGAAGCATATGGAATGCTAGGGCGACCTTTAAAATGTTTTGCTGTAAAGGACCATTAAATATGAACAAGGTTGCATTGTCATACTGCGTCTTGATCTTAAATGGTGGTATATATATATAAATAGATATATATTGCTAATCTTTTGCAAGCATTATGGAACCTAGCAAAATAATGATTCAGTTTAAATTTCTACTGTTGGCTCTCTTCAGAATAAATTTTCAGCAATTTAATGTGTGTGCAATAGATGCCTCTTACATGTGCAGCCATGATCTACTTGAAGTTTAAGATGCTTGTAAAACAATATAAATAGTCAAACTTGGCACTTCACTTTCTCAAGAAAATTGCAGGGCCTTGTATCAAATTACTTCCCTCCACATACATGAGATGCACGTAGCATATGGTATTTATTCTTGAAAGCTACATGTACTTGCACATTTTCTTCTCAATTATTTCATCATTAAAAAAAGTATAGATCTGTATTCAGGGACAAATCAATTCATCTGCATGCTGATTTAGCTGTAATAGAATATGAAAAGTTCCATTCTACACTCCCAATATCACAAGGAGACAACACAAAATAACAGCTAGTGTTCCCAGAGTATACCCTCATGATGGTCTTTAATTAATATTTAATGTACATATTAAGTTAATTATTCTTTGTTTCTTATTTATTTACCTATCAATTGCATTTATTTAAAGTGATTAATTAAAATGGGACAAAGGGGAACAACTTCTCTAACGATATAAGAATTTCAATACATGGTTATGATAGAGCCCCTTTAGAACTCCAGAAACCTATCTCAGGGGCTATTAATTTCACATGAATGGAAGCTCAAGATACCCTTGTTCATTTAATACCATATAAACTTTTAAAAGGTTATTGCTGTTTAAATTTTTGGAAGAAATATGTATTTTCAACTATATATATAATGAGCTGTAGAGCCCTTACCAACACTGTTACTCTGACCCTTCCCTGAATTTCACAATCACTGGGTAAGTAGAGGGCTAAATGATTAAGATAGTCAAGTTACCAGTTTCACTGCTTAATGTCCAGAGGTACATACAGACTTAAGTCAAATTTCAACAAATTTTGGAACATAAGGAGACAATGTACCAATTAAAACTGATGGGCTTAACAGCCATGATGATTGTTTACATGAGGTAAGATCGAGTTACTGTTTTATTTACGTTAAAGGTACATTTATGAAATCTGGAATTTTCCATGAATCCCGAGGACTGGAAAGGAGAGAACTGCATGGATACAAATGATTCAACTGGTTGTCAAGGTGTGTGTCCCCATACCAAACCAGGTTATACAGAAATAATTTGTGTTCCTTTTTAGGATATTAACCAATCAGAGGCTAGAATACAAACTAAATTATATCAAAATAATTTTGTAGCAGTAGGAAGCTTAGGCATTTCTTCAAAACATCAAAATACAGGTATTTTTAAATCATTCTCCAGTCAATATTGCTGAAAAAAAAGGATTTTTGATAAGAACTATAGCTTTCTGATAAGTTTTAGGATACAAAATTTTAATGAAGCATCACGTCTTTAGAAATTATTATAGACACCAGTTATAATATATAATATATAACAGAATATTTTAAATAACCCATGTGTAATCCTTAATCTCTAAATTGCACATATTGACATTTGTACTTGCTACAAAATATTAAAGGAAATCACAGCAAACACAGTAAACCCAGCAACACCTATTTCTAAAAGGAGGGAAAAATAGAAAATGACATTTGGCTAAAAATGAAGATTTGATACAATTTCTAATACATATTGGCCCTAAAGTTCGTTAAAAAAATGATTTTTTTTTTTCCTTTTTGCCTATGAAATGACACATGGTGAAAACTGTCTGATCCAAAACCTGTTAAATCCATAACACTGTGAATTCTGACATTAAATTTTGATATCATTTTACTATATTCCATAATTTTTCACACTGTGAAACCCAATACTCTGTCTAGTCTGACACAAATTTTGTCACCTAGTGCATGTCGGATTAGACAGGTTTCAAGGTACACAGAGTTCTATTTTAGAAATTCATTGTTTTCAATGATATATATCATTGAATCTGAGAGTGGTCATAGAGATAATTTTTTCTATTTTAGAAATTCATTGTTTTCAATGATATATATCATTGAATCTGAGAGTGGTAATAGAGATAATTTTTTCCCCAAGAGTTGAAGCAAGTTTTAAAAATGTTTTATTTTATCATAAATGTGTTTTCAACTTGCACATTTGTAAATGTAGCTGTCTGTTCTACATCTTTTAAGGTTGAACGGTACACATAACAGTACATTTACATGCCAAACATGAAGAAAAAAGTTAAAACAAATAACTTTTAATTAAGTAAAAGAAGCATTATGGTTGAAATAATTAATTTTTTACCACGTTTCAGAATCTAATTTAACATTGAACACAGATGTGTAAATCAAAATGTAAAAACATTTATAATAATTGTAGTTTCCTCTATGACAAGTACATATTATTGAGTATGTAGGTAATTTTTATCTGTTCTCTTCCAGTGCTGGTAAGATATGTTAAAATGACTATTCCTCAACACATGATATTTAACTACATTACTTTTGAAAAAAAAATTCATCCACTGGAAATTCTTACCTACAAATCATTTATACATACTGGTATTATCTCACTTAGTTTGCAAAATGAAGCTTAAAAGTCATTTTAAATACATGTACATGTATATAACACATGTGTTTCATTTCCATTTCTTTAGCAAACTTCTGCTCTACTGTTGTAAAACAAGACTCAGAAAAGTAAAGAGAGACATGTACAATTGCAGTAAGAAAATCTGAATTCACTCTCAAAATCAATCAGTAAAACGTTGCTTGACACATCACTCTTCTTCATTGGATTCACAGTACATGTATCGTAATCACATTATTATGACATAAAAAATCAAATTAATAATCAATATATATATAATTGAAAATAATTATCACATTGGTCTAATGAAACACAAAAAGAAGCACAGTACACTGTATGACCAAAAAAAAGTTTTTCTTTTCCCAGAAAAATCTCTTTTTGTGTCTTGCTTGATAACTTTAAATAAGAGAATATCCCTAAAGTATTTGTCTTTCTCCACTGGTTTTGTTGTGGATATTGTTATTTCCAATATATTTGAAATATGTGTCCACGCATATCCACCTTAATTGTTTGTCTATCTCCACTGGTTTTGATGTGGATATGATATTTCTCCACTATCCACCTAAATTGTCTGTCTATCTCCACTGGTTTTGTTGAGGATATTGTTGATTCCCACCCGGATAGCCTTGTTGTGGATACTGTTGCTGTGGATAGCCCTGGCCTGGATACTGTTGTGGATAGCCTTGTTGAGGATGTCCTTGCATGGGGTACCCCTGGGGCTGGGAATATGTGTAAGGGTTGTAGGGGTTGAAGCCTGAGGGCATGGCTGGCATAGGCATCCCCTGGTACCCTCCTCCGGCCTGGGGGTATGGAGCATTACCCCAGGACTGCTGACCTATAACGTCAAGAAAACACTCAAAAAACATGAAAAAAGAAAATATTTTGTATGGGAAAATTTTTGTGGATGACCTTATTTTAAAACTGAATCAATGTATTGTAATAAAAATATGATTTACAAGCAACAACTTATTTTTGTTCATAGTGATGCTATTTTGTATCAAGGACTAGTTGTTAAGAAAGCACCAATGAAAAACACAACAAAGAAGATGCACAAGAACATGCTTATTTTTACTGATCAAGTACTTTCCCATACTATCATACAAAATCTTCCTCTTCCCTGTCACGCAGAGAGAGGTGCTTTATATACAAATGACAGACTTTTAAAACAGAAATTCAGCTGACTACTTACCTGGCCCTGCATAGTTTTGTGCTGGGGGCTGGGAAGAGGGCGGAGCAGAAGGATGATTGGCTGATGACGAGAAAAAAAGAAAGCAATCAATCATACGTTGTCATTATACGGGTATATATATGGTTATCATTGTACAGAATAATACAGGGTGAAGCAGTCTTAAAGCATTATTTCATTTTTATTGCTAGTATATTTACAGAAAGTATTACAATAACATGTACTATGCTAAAAAATGTTGACGATTTTCATCTACATATCATATTTAAAATACCTCATAGCTATATATTCAAAATGTGTTAAAATTATTACATTATTTTTGGAATACCATATAGAGATAGAAATATAACTGCATGAGTTGCTGTTTTAGAATAATTGGAATGTCCAAATTGAAACAAAGGATTTCAGAAAGATATGATACTCCATCAAAGTAGTGAATTCATTTTTAAAATGATATCCAAAAATAATTTATGATCCATTCAAAAATAAAGATTGCATGCAATAAAAAGAAATGGGAAGTTTTATATATCACAGATGTGACATACATGTTTATTTACAAATCATGTTTTCTTTCAACTGTAAGTGTATAAAAACTTCCTGCTAGTTCATGAAGAGACTGTTTTTAACTTCCTAAAGTTTGGAACAGGGATATGAAACAAACATTTTTTTTTTATCTACTAGCAATCAGCACATTTTCCCCTCTTTATATATTATATATGAATTCAGGTTGTCATTTACAAGGTTTTATTCACAGACTTCTCCTTCAAGTGAAAATGTAAACACAGCCTAGTCATCACTATTTAAATGTCAAGTTTTTAGCAATTTAAATGCAGGGAAATTCTAAATGTTAACTTTCAACCTTTTGTGTATAATTCAAAAAAATCTACATATTACATGTAAATTTTCTAAAATAACCTTCAATTATCATTTCACTGACAGATCTTAAAAGTGCTTATACATACATGTATATACCAGGTATTTTCCTCAAATATATTTTTTTCTATGTAAAATATGTTATATTTTTAAAGATTTATTATCTAATTATCATAGTTATCAAATTTTTATCTCTTAAAAAAATTATAACCTTCCTTCAAAAGCTTTAAAAATATATATAGAACAATATTTTTAAAACACTGAATACAGAAAAAAAATCCTGACATTTGACTAAAAATCACAAGGGGTCATATTAAACATATTCATTTTAAAACTTATGCATATAAAAGTTTGATGACTATCTTCCTAGACAGATTTTTTAAGATATTGATTTGAAGAGCGTGGATTGTTTAAAAGTTTACATCCAAAAATATTGCTATAGGGACAATTTTTAATAGAGAAACAAATTTTTGATTTGAATAGAAAACAAAAATAAGTGTCTTTTGACTTCTTAATGGTCTGATGGTGAGATATCATTCCTCAAGATATGGGTTAGAAAGCATTTGATAAGGCGTATACATAACGGGGTATAACAAAAAATCCTAATAATCTTTTGTAAACCTTTTTTAATCTAAAAATCTGTTTCATAGCTAATCCATGTACAAAGTTTGATGAAATCTAGAAAACATTTTTGAGGATATTGGCAGATATCATTTACATGTAGATATCATTTAATATGGGTACACATGTACAAAAGAAAACCACTCGATCTTTGACCTAACCATCAAAATCTTCCTCTAGAGGGAGCAAATAAAGCATCATTTAGATAACAAATAGTTTTTTTAATTTTAAACAGATTGATGTTAAATTAATATGTCTTAATCAGGTTGAAGTATATTGCAAACAAAGTTAATTTTCCCCATATTACAATGACGTCCTTACCACACTTGTAAACAATCAGAACAAAGTCAAGTTAAAAATAGATACTTCTGTCTCGTTTGAATTCTACTCAGTTTCAATTTGGCAAATGATTCAAGGTTGACATTTTGCCTATATACAATACAGTGTATTTTTTCTGTTAAGTTTCAAACTCAACATTGTTTAATTCTTATCATTTTTGAATGACTGACTATACATGAAAATTTTCATTTCATAAAATTGTACTTGTTGGCTCAAATACAAGTAAAAGTTATTCATTTTGAACATAAGGTATCAATGTTAATTTTGCAAAATCTTTGACAATAATGCAATACTTGGAGAGAGCTGATATTTTGAAGGCAATGACAAAAGACAAAAGCATTACAGGCATGCAAATGATGCAATGAAGGAAGATGAGTGCTTATTGGATAGTGACTTGTGATGTATGTTAGTACATTTGAGGACTCTATACTAGTACCTTCTGTTCTACTTGTATTAGTAGTAGTGCTACTAGTTGTGCCACTTATTTTTCCTACAACAAGGATGATATTCCATAAACAGCAAAATGCTGTGTTATTTAAATGTGATGATGAAAATGTCAAAGCATCAAAAAACTCATGTGCTAAAACAATCATAAATTAGTAAAGGACATAAAAAAATAAACACCTTTATATCTAATCTAGTGGAAATTATGAAAATATCAAAGCAATACAATTTTAATATGCCATACACACATAAATTAGTAAAGGTCATTAAAAAATAAACACCTATATGTTTCACTGATTTGAAAATAATTTGTACATGGTTTTTAAAATGTCTAAGTATTTCAGCATATTTGTAGCTTGAGATAAAATGAACTTTGGGATCATGTTCATGCAACATGCTAGCACCTATTTCATAACCAACTTGAGCATGAAATCAAAATGCTGCTAAAGCTCAAAATTTCTTTATTAGCCAATCAATCTACTTCAAAATAATGACCCATGCACTTTCAACCTCTGCTAAGGACAGTAATTAAGATATTTACCAGGCATGTATTGAGGCGGGGGGCCACTTGGGTAGGAGTAAGCACCTATAGGAGGCCCTGACGGGGCACTGGAGTATGAAGGAGGCCCCGATTGTGTATTTGGTGGCCCACTCTGAGAACTGGAGGAGGAGGAGGGTGAAGGCCCTGCAGAAGAGAACTGGGGTGGTGGTGGTCGAGCAGGTGGTGCCCGACTCTCAGTGGTAGCTACAACAACCCATGGGACGAATTGTAAAACAAAATGAAAACTTCAGAAATTTGTGAATTACTGTAAATCAATTTCATTTTTTGAGAAATTTATTTTCGCATAATTTTGCCAATTTTTTCTCTCAAAAATTTGTTCTCAATTATTATATTGTCATGATTAAAGATTACACAAATATCTACTAAATTAAAATTCATAAAATTTCTTCTTGCTTATAGATACCAAACATCTATCTAGCGAAAATAAGGAGTCTCAAAAATTTAGTGATTTACAGAAGCAATGAACTGCACAACAAACAATGAAGGTCTGTGCAAAAATAAAATCTGTGTTGGTAACTGAAGAACATACTGGTATATGTATGGTATATGTATCTCAGCTTGATAAAAAACACAAAAACAGGACATAACCAGTCTTAAAATAGGCCTTGAATTATTTAGTCTATGTCTCTAATAAAATTCATGTAAATTACAAAAAAATATTTACATTACCAATGTCTTTGTTAGAGATAAAATTACAAATAGTTAAAGTACTTTATTATTCCATCAATGTACTGGTTCATCGATAGGCGCGGTTAAAAAAAATCACGTGCAGGGTGGGACAAATAGAGACAAGAAGCGGGGCTTGTAACACGTGGACTGGCAGAATCAATAGAATGTAAATAAAAGGAATGATTGTCAGATCTTTTGATTTCATGATGATGATCAATCAATTGGCTTGTGTGATAATTTTATCACGCAAGCCAATCGATTGATCACATCATGAAATCGAAAAATTAGACAGTTATTCCTTAAATAAATCTGCATGTACTTGTACACTATCCATGAACTATCATGGCTGGCATTTCACTTCAAAGAAATTAAAAGTGCTCTTCAATTATCAACCAGAATGAAAGATGAAAACTACTTTTAATAAGAAAAATATAATAAAAAACTGTATATAGAGAAGTGGAAACAACCAATCTAGATATGGAATACTATTATACAATCATACCTGAGGGATTCTGGTAGCTGGGTGGGGGTGGGGCTGGTCCTGTTGGCTGACTGGCAATAGATTTCTGTAGATCTGACATCAATTCATCTTTCTCTGTCTTTCGCGCAAAACAGAAGTCAGAAATTTTGTTCTGAAGACGGACTAGTAGGGGTGTCAAATCATTGTAGAACTGAAAGTATTATACAGTATTTTTTGTAACAAATAATCCACATATTTTTTTAAATGTTTCAGTGTACAAATTTACTAATAATCAATTTTATAAAACATTTTTTTCTCACTCTTTCAAAACTTTTTCTTTAAATATGTCACTGATATCTTATTAGTGATAAGCTCAGATAAATGCCCTGTGTTCATACTCATAATGGCAAAGTAAAAACATGTAATCTCTGAACTAAATCAGACTAATCTTGCAATCTAAATCCTTTAGCACCGATGCTTTCCAGGATTATTTTTGCATCAATATGACACAAATTAACAAAATATTTCCCTCCCTCATATTAAATATTTTTTTCTCCATAGTTTTAATATTCAAAATAGTGTTGGTCTTATTTGTACAATACAAACCTTAGTTCCCTCTTCTAAGTTGCTTTTCAGCTCCATATACATATCAAACCCAGCAGCCAGGTCTTTCAGCATTGCCTCCCTTTGTGCTCCACTTTGATCAGAAGCCTTAGCTTGACAAAATTCCAAGTTTGCTGGCTGCATAGTAAAAAAAATCATCCTTTTAAAATTTTAATCATGCCATTACTATTGCAAGAAATGATTTTCCAGGGAAAATCTTTTGTGCTTGGTAGCTATGAAACAAGAGTTTTGGAAAAGTAGTGGAAATGTGTTACCCTTGCAATGCTAAATGAATCAAATATGGTACACATTTACAAAAATGTTGCACTGGCATAAACAAATATTTCAACAAAAGACTGTAGAGTTTAACCAGACTAAAAAGAGGCCAAGAATGCAGCTCGCTCATATATAACTTTAATTTTCTGGTGTATTGTATTAATAAATCTCTTATTCTGAGACGTATACCTGAACTTGGGCCATGACAGAATCTTGTTTTCTAAGACTCTCATTGACTTGCTCTCGTAAAGGTCCGTAAATTCTGTCTAATTCACCCATTGATAACATTTCTTCATTGATTGCACCATCTGAAGCCAGGGCCGAGAAAAACTTGCTAGCTGTAGAAGACATCAGAATATGTATCATATGAAGAATAAATTTCTTGCCGTAGAAGTGGAAATTTTCGCGAGACGCAAATTTAGCAATTTGTCCTTAAAATTGGGCATTTTGTTTTTAGCGAGAAGTAATTTTAGCGATTTTAAACTGCTCACTAAATAAGCTATTACAACTAAAACACAATTAATTTTTAGCGATGTTCAATTTTAGCGATCTCAGCACCCTCGCTAATAATGCCAAAATTAAATCCTCACTAAAATTCTGCTTATACGGTATATAATTGTAAATTGGGACTTATTGTCACATTCAATAGCTTCATTTTTATCTTCATCAGAATTTCAATGTAACTAATACTAATTAGTTTATGGATAAAATAACATTTGTCTACATTCAACAAAGGTGAAGCTACATTACGTTTTTTTAAAGACAATCTTTATCAAAGACCAATATACATTTTTCTTGACTTACTCATGTCAAACTTGGCCTCTTTCAGTTCATTTTCTATGACTTCTCTCTCAGCTTTAATGGTTTCTACATCATCCATGAGTTTCCGTAGTTTCTTTACCACCCCGGTACTCTCAGACGCCTGGGCCCCACCTCCAGAGGGTAGAGCTTTGTCTATTTCTGCCTAAAAAATGAATGGTGTGCATTAGAATTTACAGCCACATGTCGGTCGGAACGACGGCGATCGGTAGAAAATCTGTAATTGGTTAGTTGGAAAAAATATTTAAAATATGTTAAATGAAACAAATTTCTTTAAAATTCAATCAAAAAAAAAAAGATGTCTGCACGAAGGTTATTAATTTAGCCTTAAACAAATCTATTTCAGCCGTTAAAGAGGTAATTATGACTCTCCAAATTGAGACCATTTGTCAGTGTTTTAATCATTGTTTTATTATTTATAGTGTTTATTATTGTGAAAACACTAGGTTGTTACCCGACTGTCCTGTATTAATTGAATACTTCTAAGCACTGTGAATTGGTATGTTAGTCATTTTCAGTCATCTATTTATCAACTTAAATTAATATTAAACAAACATGGTAAAATAATGGCTACAGTTCAGATTTTGTTTTGATTTTGGTGACAATGCAGAATGAACTTAAGTGATATCTGCTCTGAAAAATTATCAATGATTTCTTAGGCTTGTGTCATGGTGTTCATTTCATTTTGTCCCCTTGTCCATTGAAATAGAATTTAAAAATATATACCTGTAGTTTTCTGATCTTGATTCAAGACAAATAGAATTTAAAATACTTAAGAAAATATGTATTTTGTTACGATTACGATTGGTCAGAACGTCTTGCGGTTAACCGATTAGCAATTCTAATCAATTCTAATAAAAACACAACTTGATGGATAAAAATCATATCCAACTACAAACCACGGGAGATCCCATATATCATCCATCCTTCTTTTTAAGTGTGTAACAATATTTGAATCTATAGCCTTTAACATATACAGGAAAATATAAAAACAATGCATTATGAACAAAAGCAAGCACTGCAGCATAACTTTAAATGCATCCCTCCCCACTTACTGGTGATTTAGACAGTAGTTCTATGGCCTGTTTATGTTTCTGGTATTTTTCCTGGACTATGCGGTCAGCGTTTATGGCCGTGTCCAGTATCTGTTTATACTTCATGCTCTCATCCCTCATGGGTTGGGTCAGTTTGTCCGAGGGTGTGCGCGTCCACCTCTCCTTGAACTGTTCTCTCAGCTGTTTGTCTGATGCTTCCTCCTCTTCTAGCATTCTAATCGACTGAAAGGAAAATCATTTTTATATCTATTATTTATCCCATTTATGAAACTTAGTTACTGTACAACAGTTGTTCTTGTTTCAAATGTTTAATTCCTACGCATCTAATGACAAATGTATGTACAAGTATTAGACATTCCTCTGTTTTCTTTGAAAGATAAACTGGCAAAATAACGAAACAGAGAATCTTTGCACTTCTGTATTATTCAAGATATGAAATGCAGGTTAATTTCAATTTCAAATACAATTATTTTTCTATATTTTTTAAATGGAATGCAGTTAAATATATGGCACACAACATTTTATTCTTTCTAGCTGATCCATTCGGATGCATGCACATAATTTTTTTTAATTAATCATTTTAATCATCAGTATATTATTTACCTCATTAAGAATTTCTCTATTCCTCTGCAGTAATTCTGGTAATTCATTCATTAGTTTATCTAAATACTGTATTCCTCCTATGTCCTTTATTTGCTGGGCTTTCTCTATCACAGACTGGGGGACCTTCTTACCAGACAAATCCTCCAAAGCTGCAGGCAGGTTCAGGGAGGCTAATATACTGAAACAGAGACACAACAACAATGAACAAATTACACGTTCTTCTTAAATTGTGAGAAGATCGGTCAATATTGATATTTTTCTGGTCAATAACAAAGCATATCCACCATCGAAAGAGTCCATAATTGTATATTATTTCTGTTTGATCTTTATATTTAAATTAATTTTCAGGTAATTTCACTTTTATCTATGGAGATTCAGCAGTCTAAGGGAGAGAACTTTAAATAATATTTGTACCTGTTCATCAGCTGTGTCTGCTCTCGTAATCTACCAATCTCTGTGTTCATAATTTGTGTCTTCCTGTTTTCAAAAGCTGTTAGAGCTTCATAAACTGGTATAGGAACAAGCTTTTCAAACAAATCTACAATACATTGAAAATGAAATATTAAGTTGAAATATCTCTGTAGGAAAGCAATTTATTAAAATAGTGGTATTTTCCTACTGAAATCCAGTAAAACTGGTAATCAGTAAATTTCAAAATACATGTATTCTAAATAATCCATAACTTCACAAAAACTTTTGAAACAAAATGGGTGCTTATTTAGTTTAGGAAAAAGATATCTTGAATAAATCAAAAATGAATTTTATATACTAGAAAAAAAAATAATGAAAGTGAAAGTTTTTCACTGTGACGTCATAATGAAGCGACTCAAAAACACAATGCTCCATGACGTAATTGATATAAGCACAACTCAACGATATGATAAGACGTAAACAACAAACAAATGCATAGATTGCATTAGAATGTGTTGCAAGCACCCTTTGCCTTACCAGCTCCGCCAGTAAAACTCAGTTTGCGACCGTTACATAAACATTAACGGTCGCAAATACCAGATTAGAAGATAGTTATTCCTTAAGTGTATGTTCTATACTGTTAATTCAGAAGCTTTGGCCCAAAAATCTATTAAAGAAGCAAAATCTAACCTGTAAAGTTTTCACTCATTGGTTTGCTTGGGAAAGGTGCTGGTTTGGCAATGGCAGCCTTGCCTATAGTCGGAAGGCTCTTCAGATCGGGGATTTTGTCGTGATAAATAAAATCGTTGTCCTTCTTGGCTGCCTGCAGCTCTCTCTGGACACGACCCTGTTCTGTTTTGAAGGCAAAGGCTGCACCTCCTCTACTCTGGGCAGCTGTCAGGAGCTCATTGGCTTTCTAAAATGTACAGAGGAAACACATTTACAATAACTTTTTTACCATAGTAAGAAACTGCACTTCTGCTATGATAATTTATCAAACATAAAAACAAAGTAAACAATGTTTAGAATCAAGAATATAATATAAAGGTGAAGTGCATGTGTAAGAGAGGCAACGTTCAAGACTAAATGAACATTTATTAATTTATTTAATGTTACCGAGTTATATTTATGCATTGTTTTTTATCCCCATTTATAAGTTTTATAAACTGAATTATATTATTTGCACATACTCAAGCATAGAAGGTTTTGACAATGTTGATGGAATTTGTGAGACTGACAACATAAAGGCTTCATTTCTAAATGTACCTCAAAGATTGTGATTTTGATATGCATGTTTGTCATGCTGTTTTGTCGACCTTCATTTATAATTTAAACACTTGCTCCCATTCTTTTATGTAACTGTTGGTCAAAATTACTTCAAATTTTCTTCAAGCAAAAATAGTGCAAAATACATGTACTTCACGATGACAAAATCATTCATCATGTATGAAAAATCCTTACACAGTTCACTGCTTATATATAAGTAGTTGAAGTACCTGTAAGCGCGCAATTTGTTCACCATAAGACTTGCTCTGTTGGGCCACACAGCTCTGGTAGAACTCAGCCATCCCGTGAAAGCCAGCTTGTTTGCAGGCCACCAATGGAATCCAATCCTGTGAATTCATATACATTGAGCTTTAATATGGAACAATAAATTTCTGTGTTAATTTCAGGGTTTTTTTTGGTAAACTTTGTTAAGAACTGATGAATAATTTATTACCTAAATAAATATACATTGTATATGTATACAATTTAAATGGATACAACATGCATAAACTAAGGAAAACAAAATGATGATTTTTTTTTAAATGTATGTTTCTTCATGTTTGTACATCTTCAATAACTTCCTGCTATACAGAAATATACTTGTATCCTATCTGTATCTTAATATCCCCTTTTACTGTGATACTAACCTTTGGCCAGAGTTCCTTTAGGGAGGCGAGCTGCATCAGCTTCATGGCGTCGCTGTAGAGGTCTGAACACTGGTAGGCTATCTTAGCTACCATGGCCTCCTTCATCCGGTCTGTAAGGCACAAAACATTCAGATGATGTAATGTTCAAAATGATACAGAGTAGAAACATTTTCTTTTTATCCAACTGATTGAGTTCAACTTCATTTACCTCTGTGTCTTGCAAATATTTATAGATATGATTTCTTATGTTGTCAACTATCATTTGACAAAGAAAAATTTCATAAATTTCAGTTTTAAAATTTGATCATTTTTGTATATCTTTATATAATTTTTTTAAAGAAGATAAATAATGGCCACAACTACTCATGCAGCCCTCTCAAAAAGTGTACCTGCAGCAGCTTTTCTGTAAATGGCCTCTTGAGCCTGGGCCACCATGAGTGCACTCAGGGCATTGAGTGTGTCTGGACTCAGGTCAGGGGTGGGTTCTTGTTGGACATGTGAAAGTACAATGTCTTTGAGATGTCCATAGATTCCTGAAGCATTCTGTCAAAATAATGTTTTTAAATCAGCACTACTTCTTGTGTGAAATTATTCTGCCTTTTTCAATCATTTTAACTTTTTTTCTTTTGTACATTAAGAATTTGTTTTACCCTTTATTTTCTTTTCAAAGTTCATACTTGTATGATTTCCAAAATATTTGTGTTGGTACACAGAATCAAAGTTTTTTTTATGATTTCCTAACTTTGTATCTTTTACTTCAGATTTTCAATTTGAAAATGCTTGATTTTGATTGGTCACCTGGAAATACTTGGCGGAGGTTTTGAGTCCTTCATCACTATCATGGTTCTGAACTTCAGCAATCTGGCTCTGCAGGGCTGCGATGTTAAAAAGCATGCACACCTTCTCATAAGCACCAGAGGCAATACCTGTAAAGATAAAACATTAAAAACAATAACCATTATACTGGAGTGCAGATAATCAGAGCAGGAAGTGTATTTATTGATAAAATATGTTGATTTATCATAATTATTACATACTATGATAATTAAAGTAAACAATGACATATAATGCTGATCAGTTTCCGTTTTTGTCCTCATTCAGAAATAAAATTTTTATTACAAACCCAAGATTTGTTTTCCACCAAATAAAGATTCCTTATCAAAGGCATTTCTCCATTTGAAGTTCACTCGAATCTAGAAAACAATCAAAATTTGCAACATTTAGTACATATTTTTCCTCCACATATTTAATTCTTATGTGCGATGAATGTCTTGAAAATGTTGTTTATTTTTATCAGAATTGTTTCAGATATAATAAATTTCATATATAATCCTGCATGTCAGTAGAATTACAGTATACAGGCGATTATCATATTACACAACCAATCAATACTGCATGAATAAAGCTTTAATGTGCTGCAGATATTTTTTTAATCTATCCAAGCAAAAGGATACTGCTGACTCAAAAGTGAAGACTTCTCCAAAAATCTACCCACATCATTGGATACAATGGTATCATTGATTTTTTAATCCCATTTAACAGAGCTATTCTTTGTTTAAATTTCTTTGAAATAATTTTGCATACCTGATTTTCTGCTATGGGTAGCTTGTTCTCTATTGCACAAAGCTGGTCATAATACCTGTTTGAAAATAAATTAAGAAAGTTAGTTTGCATGGACACATGTAAAACTCGATCAATAAACATATTTAATGTTTTGATGATTAATTAAATATAGTAGTCTTATACTGTTTTATCCAGCTATTATTAATCTGCATTCAATGACTCAACTAAACATTTTGTATAATATGTATGTGATGCATATATTGTAAAAACTTCTACTTGGTAATTTAAAAAAAATCTAACTATTAATAAAGCTAAGGAATAGTGCGCTGTAAAGAAATAAAGTCAGTGTGTTCTTGTATTCTCTGTTACATTAATATTAATAATAAACAGTTCATCTTTCTTTTATTCTTCCACACATAGGTGATTTTGTTCAATTAATAGTTTTTCCCTTCCTTTTTCAGAATAACGAATGTCTTATGACAGTCAAGCATTGCATAATATCATGAATATTGCAATGTAGGAAACAGTTCTTAAGTTTTAGCTGTTGAATTACATCAACAATGGTGGCTGATAATTCTACTGGAAAGGTAAGGAAAAGAAAAGTAAAATTAAGTCTGCAAGGTGGAACAATTTGTCAAATAATTTTTAAGAGTCTTATGACTTGCTCCAGTGACCGTGACGTTTCGGTCCATTGATAACTTCATATTCATGTGTAGTTCTTATTTAAATTCAAACAATTCATAAGATGTTAAAATATATGTTTACTCCATCAAATAATTTACATGTATTTCGAGAATATGCAGTCTACCCTAATATGAAAATAAAATTGACAGAAATGATGAAAGGCCAACCATTGGTGAGTAATATTTTTACAGGTCTCTCTTCAACATTTCAATGATATTGTTATTCTGAAGGTAAAACAGACCTGGGTCCTAGGGCCTAAGGGACATGTGACTCATTTATTGCGAAAGGGTAAAAATATAATTTACACACTTTGTACACATAGGCCTCTCTATATTACTATACTGTGAAAACAATGCGTAATAATTTTTCAAATGATATACTAATTTGTACAGCATTTTTTTCTTATAAAAAATACCCTATTCTTATTTTACTTGTATAATGAGAATTCGACTAAAGAAACACAAACCGGTACAAGACTTCTAATGCTGATTCATGTTTGTCAACAGATTTGGCGATCATTAAATTCCTCAATTTGCTGAACTCGTTGATTGCATGGTTGTAATCGTCTGGTTCCACCTGCGTAAAGGTATTTTGGATGAAACTTCTCAATGGTTTAGTCAGTTCAACTTCCTGAGTTTGTTTCAGAGGAACTGCAAGGAACGTCGCCATCTTGGTAAATAATGTTTGGTCACATGGTTCCGCATTTAAAAATAGCTATTTCAGTGACGTCAAAATCTGAGTCAGGTTCTCCCGGGTTTTACTCATCCTGGGTGGCGGATCATATAAAAACTTTGGTGTCTTGCTAAGATCCGATCAATGAAACCCCTTTTTCTTAATAAATAAACTTATGATTCATTTACTCCTCTTTGTTATTTAGTTTTTCACGAAGATTATAAAATACACAAAGAAGGAAGTTTTAATGTGTATTTTTTAAGCTGGGGGGAATCTTCTCTTAGGGGGATAACTCTGGCTGATTGTCTTGTAAGCAACAACACGCTCATTTATATTGTGAATTTTATAGGAGGAATTATATATGTATATGACATAATAAAAAAAAAATGCAAATGATTTTGTTGAGTTTTTCAATTATGAAACTTTAGGTCAAATTAAAAATTAATATTCTAATTGAAATCTATAGTTAATATTTAATAAACAAACAATATGATTTATTAATAGAATTATATTCTATTATGTCAATTTATAGCTGCAATAATGTAGCAATTATCCACACCCCACTCTCTGATGAATGTTAATTTGCGATTTTTTTTTTAATTTGGATGTGCATTTATTCAGAATATAACTTACCGTTTTGAATTTTTTTTTAAATATTCAAAATGGTCATCTTTTTTCAATATAACCATTTATATGACATTCACGAGAAATATTTAATAACTTAATTAAATGTATATTTCCCATGCTGTATGCCAAAAAATAGGCACTATAATATGAAACATAAGGTTTTATTTCTTTTACATTTTGAGCTATACATATTATATCAATCTTGCAGCTAGTCAAAATTAAAAGAAAATACACACTTTTTAAAATTGAATAAAATAATAAACACGTTTCACTTTGGCTGAAATAGGCTGTGTCTGCAATTTTAAAATTTTCCCCATAAATGCAAATCTTATAAAAATTTCCAGATGTTATATTTCTTTTTTAATAACTCATTTTTTTTTATAATGATCAACAATTCAAACCTGAAATTATACGATCTAAAAATATAAAATACTAAATATAACGTATATACAAGTGTATGTATTGATTTATAATAATATATAATGTTAAAAATTTGTAAATTTTACTGATTTTAATAACTAATTTTTTTTTTTTAAACAACCTTATTGCAGATCCTTTTTTCAACATTATTTTTTAAGCTTTTCTTGATATGTTTTGGTGAACAGCTAAAAGTTGTTACTTCTGAAGAGAGAGAGAGTGTATTTTATATATTTAGAGCATGCTTAATCAGAATATTATATCAGTTTTGCTGTATATATCCCCCATTTTTGTAGGTCTTCCTAGGTCTTCTGTATCTTCAATTACTGTAGGTCTCATTCCCTCACTTTGGTCAAAGATTGCCAAATAAATTGTGTGATTCTCATTTTACATCTCTTTCGTTTTACAATATAGCTACACATAGATTTTTTCCATATCATTAAATATTATGCGCGTTTTTTTTTTTTTTTTTTGTTTTTTTTTTTTTGAATAAGTGTAATAAATACGATTTGGAAAAAAGTTGCAACATAAGTTATTGGATATATGGATTATTTAACTATCAGACCAAAGTTTGCCAATAATTCTCATTTTACAATAGCTACATACATGTAATGATTTTTTTCCATATCATTTAAATATTATGCATGTGTTTTTGGTTTTGGATTGCAATCATGCAGTTCTTGGATATCTATGTATAATCAATCTGATTAAAATACAGGATCTCTAAATAGCGCAAACTTTGCGCTATGTAGAGATCTATTTTAATTAGATTGAATTACATATTTTCAGAAAAGAGTGCCAAGATGTTAAGATTTTAGAGAAATCATACCGAACTGTTTCTTCAAAGTTATTTCTTTTTCTTTAACCTCTTTTTTGGAAGTGTTTAAAATACCTATAAAAAGTATTTCAAAAAGTTTCTAATAATTTCCGTAACCGTAAAATGCTTCTAAAAGCTATTTGAAGTTTAAAACGCCTACATTTTGCACAAGAAAACGTTTTAAAGAGAAACTGAGCAGAATAAATTAAGATTAAATGTTGATTTGTTTCAGCAATTTTTTTTTAAATGAAATGTTTCCGAGAACATATGCTGCAAGTCAATGCGTCCTGTTTTACAAAAGAACTAACGACTAAGCTGATTGTAAAATTTGCATAATTGATGATTCTGTTTAAAATGGACACTGTATTTTTTTTTTCATCCCTAAATTAAAAAGAAATATTAATTAAAACAATTTTCAATAATGTAATATGTAAATTAGATATAAACGGAATCAATTTTCGGTCTTTTGTTTCACGGACACCAGCATATTTATCTTTACATATTTCCCCCCTAATTTTTGTTTTGTCTTAAATTGATGATTTTGCGAACTGACAATCCCCTCGATGAAAATGAACTCGTCCGAAACAAGCTTGACCTTTAAACTAACAAAGGAATGCATTTATTCTCCGTCGGCCAATCACATTTCGCCATTTCTACGGCTTTCAGCTGTTCGATACGCGGAATATTTCATAGTTTTTCCCTGGAGTAACATAGCGAAAGAAAGAAAAATTCGGGAAAAATCAAATGGAGGTTTGACAAAGTAAGTAATGCAAGCATTCGATAGATATCAACCTAAGGAAAGATTATGCACAATGATCTTTTGTTTTTGATGTTGATTTCATGCAATAAAATGCGTGTGAGTGTTAGTTGTCAATGAACACGTTAAACAAACAAAGGGCAAATACTGATGCCATCCGAAGGGAACTCCATTCATTCATACGTTCACATGTACACAAAATATGTAATGCCATCTCTTTGTGTCTCAAATATGATTTAATCTTGCCAAAATATTCGAAAAAGGCTTTCAAAGGTAAGCTTAAACATTTTTACAAGAATGACATTCTAATTTGATTACAAATGAAGTGTTTCAGCGATCTTTTGAACAAGGTGATCTTGGGTATTGAATAAAACAAAGTACATTTTACTACCACGTGCCATAGATGTGAACTATAAAATGAAAAGGAAAAAATAAATTAAAATAGATTTTTAAGTTTTTTCACTGTTTGTATATCTTTAAATTTTCCTTGAAGATGTAGATTTTTTTTATTTTCATAAATTAATAATTAAAAAATCATGTTCATATCGTGACTTGCATGTAAAGACATTTATTTTGGTAATAATTTTTTAATAACTGACAGTTAAACTGATGAAGAATAATTTTCTTTTACAGAAGAATTTGACACTGGCATTTTATCTGTTGTGTTAGTGCTGAGTGCTTTTAAAAATTAATAATTTGTATTTAATATCATGATTTATGAATTGAATATGAATATGCAAAATATGCAAATATATATATATAAATTGTTAAAATAAAATTAATAAATTTTTAAATAAATAAAATTAAATTAAATTTTTCAAATAAAAAACTCTCTAGCATATGCTCTTTATGTCAAATTGTTTGAGTATTGCATAACAATTGCGAGGTTAGTAATGCGAATTATTTTTGGTTAATTATCATCGTGATTTCCATGTCATGATGATGTGTTCTACTTGAGAAAAGTATTGGCTAATTAAGATATTTCTTATATAAAGGTCTAGGAAATTAGATTTAGTTGACATGAATTTATCATGCACATATATGTCATTAGGTAATTGATTTGAATGATATATGGTATATACAACATTCAATTACTTTTTTCTAGTGTTGTACAAATAAATATATAAATATATATTATATTAAACACAATAAAATATTTAAAAATAATATGATGGGGATAAATTTATTAGATTCATTGATCTGCACATGTCAAATTTTAATTTTAATTAATCTTAATTAACCTATATTTAGTACGAAGTATACAAGTAAGTAATATTGTTAATTGCCTCAATGTTTTATGTAAACCGTGACGTAATGTGTATTGCAGAATGTTTTGAATCAATTTCACATGGCCCATTATCTAGAGAAATGTATGCCAGAAATGTACAGGCAAGAAACTATGTGCAAGTCAAAAAGCCAGTGTAGGAGTTGACCTGAATCAGATTTGTGGGAGGGGGAGTAAGAAAACCCCACTTTCGTTGAATCATATACAGAGGTCTATAGAAACACTTGTTTTCTCTCACCTGCATTTGATTTTCTCTCCCCACTCAAATTTTTTCGGAATTACAAATCTGAATTTGCAATAATAAAAAAAATCTTTTGATCTCATTGTGGTACTAGTCAAGTTTTCGTTGGTATTTCATGGCGCAACATGCATTTATATCCGCAAAATTTATTTCGACTGAAATACTTCTAAATAATTTGCATAATTATGCATAAAAAGGGCAGAGATTTGTATTCATTCATTGAATAAGCATAATGTTCACTGAGGTACCAATATATGACATGACGTATATTTGGCAATTGCGTATCTTCATGTTAAATGAATTTTTTTACTACACGCCCATCTATAATTGTGTATGTTGACGTAATGAAGATGTAGTTTCTGAAATTGTGGTTCAAGGGAAGTGATACAGAAATCTCCTCATAATTTGGAAAAATTTTTATAATATGATTATATTATTTAAAATCAGAAATAATTGTCATATCCTTTGAAAGTAATCAACGATCAACAAAATGCTTTAAAGACTAGATTTTGAGCTGTACAACAGATTGACTTTTATATATGTAATTAGCTTTATCTGACCTAATCAATTAATCTTAGTTTCTCCTTGCAATATGTATTTACAAACAATAATTAATTAAATCCGTAATCAATGAGTAAAAAAAATATTTAACAAGGTTCAAGTCCTGGTCGGTATGCAAGACATTCCTTTTTGGCCTTCACATCTTTTTGATATAATTTGTATGAACAGATGATAAGACATCTGCTAACATTACATAATAATTATCTTTTTATCCTTAAAACAGATTTGACACCATGTGAAGCAGACATGTACAATCAACCCACAACAAGTGGTAGAATTCCGTTATGAGCTGCAGCAAATCATGACATCACACAAAGAAAAGTACGACCACAACTACGAAGAAATTGACGAAATTGGCAATGGAGCTTACGGCACGGTTTTCAAGGCCAAGGACACCCGCAACGAGGGGGGCTGGGTGGCCATCAAACGCATTAAGATTCAGAATACAGAGGAGGGAATGCCCATGAGTGCCATTCGCGAGATCGCACTACTCAAACAGTTGGAAAATTATGAACACCCGAATATTGTCAGGTATACGCTCTTATCTATTATGACAGTATGCCTCAACGTTTGAATGAAATAACCAATCATCTAAAAGTGGGGCCTCTGTTTACATCCTCTGCCCACCAAATTTTACACCCCCACCCACCCCCTCAGTTCCTATATACCCAAACAAAAACACAGAAATTCCCACCCACACAACAAGACACAAAAATGGTTGCAAATATTGATCAATCTTATTGAACATTGCAAGCTAGCTAGTACATGGTTTCTGAAAGTGTTGAATGTTTACTATTTCTACTCTCACTTTCATCTATATATCTAAAAGGTTTTAGTTTTCTGTTTGCAAACAAGTTCATCTTTTGTTTTATCTTCAAGTTTAACCTTGATGTGGTTAGATTGGAGAAATACAGTTTAACCCCTCTCTTCCATATATTGTGTTTTCTGAAATCTTGGTTAATACGATCTAAACATAAAATGCAATTGTTTTAAAAATGTCTATAACGAATCAGTGGGATCCAGATTACACAAGATCTACTGTAACTTTATCTTGGCCCAAACAATTCTAATGTTATTGCTGCATTGATTTTTGTTGAACAAGTTTAACCTAGATTTTAAAAAAGTTATAAAGGAACCTTAGTCTACATTGAAGGCAGATGAACAAAGCAGACTGTTATATTTATTTACATGTATTTATATCTAAAACTGTACCACAAAAGGATGTGTCATCATTTGTCCTAGCCTTCATCCCAACGATTTGCTCACAATTATGTTACAGTAGTTATCAGGTAGCACATTACATCACATAATGACACATTGTAGAATATGTTATTTTCACCCAAATTTTTCCTATTTTAGTACAAATTGTTTCAAATTATGAATAATTTTTGCTTGTCTCTGTTAGTGCATAAGAACTAGCTAAATATTCTTGTCTGTCTGTTAATAATAATAGTAATATCGGACTATAGGTAAAAGTTACGTAATGATTGAACTTTGGTCAAGGGAAGATGTAAAGAGGGGGAGGGGAGGGTCTTCTTATTGTAATTACGGAGTGCCGCATAAGTAATGTATATTACGTGTACGTATTGTAGTCGCAGGATAAGTGGGGAGCAAAGTGATACAATTATAAGTGTCAATAAATCGCTAAGCCTGTTACAAATAGATAAGGAAGCTGCCATCATAGGTTTGGAATTCTGCTGAATCTTAAGTTTTTAATGACATAAATTATATAATAGGTGTCTTAGCTAATGGGAACTTAAGGCTTCAGTTGGAAAAAGAATTCGTTGGTGGAGATTAATTTGAAATTGAGGGGGATCCCTTCCAGAAGAAATGGACAAAAAAATGAATGACAGTGAAAGATTTTGCCAAAATATTTTATTCCTTAGTACAAAAAATCCCCACAGAAATCTTTTTAAAGAAAATCTATGTATCATTTCATCTAGCAGTGCACAGAGAAGGACAAGATCTTTGATGAAATAAGTCACCATTTGAAACTCTTCCAAAATAAAATCACTTGATAATCAACAATCTTTAAAGAGTACTTGTTTGTAAAATCACTTATGTGTATAATGAATTTCCTCCTCTTTAACTTGACCTGTTTGTGTACTAAGTAACAAATCATTTTCTTGTCATCTCGCAAAAATCTTTTTTGATCAAAGAGGCGGTAGTGCGTCAGCACTCAGAGAAAAGAAAAAAACTTGACATTTCTTCATCAATTAGTCTATAATTAGCACTTATATGTATACGCAACTTCGCAAAATATCTGAATTAGATCAAACACCCTTAAACTTATCTGTTTAAACACTTGCATATATTTTTTTTTGTATTTTTTATGCAGAATCACGAAACTGAAAAAGGGCATGCAACTCTTTACTCTTTTCTACTGAAGGGCTTTAATATCTTGACATTTAGTGCTTTTGAGGACACACTGCTTTTGTTGTCAAAGTATGAAATCTATACATATTTCATAGATAATAAGTGAAAAATTTCATTCTACTGGGGGTGGGTGGGTGTTGATCACTTCCACATATTGCAGAAATTTTTGTTTTTCCATCCTTGCTGCACATGATTTCAATCTTTGTATTAGTTTTCAAAATGACTATTTTATTCCTTTTGCCATGTAATAATAATATAAACCATCTTGTATTTATCTTCTTGTAGATACATGTAATTACTTTTAAGCAAGTGGATTAAGTACGTATAGGAAAAAATGAATTTGACAAGAATTTGGAATTGGAATTTTAAACTGTAGGTGTATATTTTTCAATTAAAATTTTTAAATGTGCTGGCATAATACCCACGCATAAACCAATTCATACAAGAATGTGTTTTACAAAACGGGGGCTATCAAAGCAATGCTTAGACAGAACCCAGTGTTCAATATATGCTGGTAGACATTTAAAAACCTGATCGATTGTGAGCTATTCAGAGCAGTGATAATCTATGTAACAAGTATGCGAGATATGCCAAACTTTACCTATATAAGTAGGGTAGACCTGTTGACATTAATGCCTAGATATACAGTTATGTTCATGGACTGTGACTATATTTAAAGGCCTTTGCTTGCGTACAGTCCTTTTAGTATGCAAAACAGTATTGAACAATGTACTACTAGCTGGGGATCATAAGCTATAGGACTGATCCAAGTTTACATTGTGGGGGACAGATTGTTTTCAAAAACAAATAAAATTCTGTTTGAAATTTAGAATATGGGTAGGTGTGACTGGGTTATGTACACAAAGTAAAGTTCCCAGAGGGCAGCCATATGGTTGTAGGATACAGAATTAACATTTTTCTTCTTTAGATGCCCATTAAGTGGACACATAAATTCAGCCTTGTTTATGAGAGTTTGAAATGTCATGCAAATGTAAAGAATTATAATGCTGATTCTGCAAAATAAAAAAAAGAACATTTTCTTATTCATATACAGTGTATAACAAAAATGTCATGATCGTTAAGTGTATTACATATGCTAATTATGCAAAGTACATATTCTAATGCATGTGAAAGAATTGACAAATTCTTGATACTACTAATACATAAACAACAGGTATATGTACTAACAGTTGCTATTACTTTGCACTGATTGACTGTCCCTGATATAGGTATGTAGGTATATCTTTCAATGTCACCTTATTCTCTAGTGGTCCTATATAAATGTCAATCGTTGTCAGTAATATGTCACATTCTACTTATAGTGATCGGGCCATATGTCTTTGTAGAATACACTTGCTACTTACTGTACACTTAGTTATTGGGGCAGAATACATGTGAAATTCTGCACTAGGGTATTTTTTGCAGAACTGCTAAAACTGAAATGAAAGAGACATAATAGCAAGGATTAATAAAATAAATTGCTAAAACATTTCTACATTTTCCAACAACAATAATGCATTGTATCCATGCATGCATTTTTTCCCAGGATTACAAAAATTATTTTACAGTTATTTTTTCTGTCTAGATCTCTTTCTATTTCACAACTTTTTTCTCCCTTAAAAATTAATTTACTAGTTAAGACTTAATTAACTAACATTTTTTGTAATAAACTTAGTCTAATAAAATTGTTATAATAAATGTTACTCTTGACGTAGGAGTATTTTTTTCTTTTTTTTTTATTCCAATGGCTATGCAAGGAATAACAAATGTCATAATCCATAACCCTTGTACACATTTTGTAAACTATCTGATCCAAACTTATTTTGTAGGCTGTTGGATGTGCGTCATGCCCAGCAGAGTCCTACTGAAATCCAGCTCATGTTGGTGTTTGAATACATTGACCAGGATCTGTCCACTTACCTCCAGCGATGCCCAAGTCCAGGACTGGGGCCAGAGAGAATCAAGGTAGGTAGTCCAGGACTGGGGCCAGAGAGGATCAGGGTAGGTAGTCCAGGACTGGGGCCAGAGAGAATCAAGGTAGGTAGTCCAGGACTGGGGCCAGAGAGGATCAGGGTAGGTAGTCCAGGACTGGGGCCAGAGAAGATCAGGGTAGGTAGTCCAGGACTGGGGCCAGAGAGGATCAGGGTAGATAGTCCAGGTCTGGGACCAGAGGGGGTCAGGTTAGGTATAAGTCCAGGACTGGGGCCAGAGAGGGTCAGGGTAGGTATAAGTCCAGGACTGGGGCCAGGGATGATCAGGATAGGTAGTCCAGGTCTGGGACCAGAGAGGGTCAGGGTAGGTAGTCCAGGACTGGGGCCAGAGAGGGTCAGGGTAGGTAGTCCAGGACTGGGGCCAGAGAGGATTAGGGTAGATAGTCCAGGGCTGGGGCCAGAGAGAATCAGGGTAGGTAGTCCAGGACTGGGGCCAGAGAGGATCAGGGTAGGTAGTCCAGGACTGGGGCCAGAGAGGATCAGGGTAGGTAGTCCAGGACCGGGGCCAGAGAGGATCAGGGTAGGTAGTGCAGGACTGGGGCCAGAGAGGATCAGGGTAGGTAGTACTACCTCAATACAAAAACAATATATTTCTAAATAACATGCATAATTAATTGATATGTTGACAGGATGCAAATTTTTAAAATAAAATTTCAAATAAACATGCAATAATTTGTCAAAAGAAATCAATGCCTGCAAATATTATGTATACTTTTAAATCTATAATGAATGTGTAAGCCTTAAAGATTTAATTCTGTTTTAAAAGTAACCAAAAAAAAAAAAAAAGATCAAAGGAAAGGGCGTATTGAATTGCAGTAATTGACATGCAGTATTTTAACTTCATTCATAAAACTTTGCTATAAATGGCACAGAAATGGAAAAACCCAAATAGGATAAAATAGATGAATTCCATTCATTCCAGTCCTAATGCTTTCTATACATTAATCAGCCCCTCCTTACAAGTGATATTTCTCTATATTTTATGTATTATTATTATTGTGCGGTGAGAACATGTCCTAGGGATATGCATTAACCTTTAAACCTAAGAGCTTCGATAGGTGATGTGTTCAAGGCTGCATAAAGGCTGAAGTTTTATTCAGTATGAAAAAACATCAATGAAAATTTGTGAGAGAAACTTTGTAACTTAAGATTTAAAAAGCTTCTAGCTGTCATGTTCATTCATGAAGACTGCAATCTCTTGGCTTTTTCTTCATTGAAGAAACTTGATCTAATTCCTTTATATCCGTAAAACCCTATCTGCACCTCAAAGTTTTTAATTTGAATTAACAGTGACTTGGAGAAGTGGTCTTTTTCTGAGAAACTTTGCCGCATTTAAGAGATTTAAATGAAAAAATACTGTTTGCGCATGTTTAAAAAATACATGCGCAATAAATAAAACTGCAATTTCATGCATGCCCATCCATTTACCTGTATGTCTGTGTTTTGTAGAAAACTAATCTTGAGTGAATTAGAGCAAAAATTGACATAATTTATATAACTGTGAAAAATTTCTATTATTCTTTTTTCTTCCAAGAAAATTGTGATTTCAAATTAAAATTACAAATGTGTATCTCAAATATTGAAGTTTGTTCTTCTTTAACAATACTGACTTTAAATTTTTTCAACACCCCCTTTTTGGCAATTCATGGTAATAAAATTCCCAAAGTGCGGTATTTATATAATCTTTGCATTCATTGTAGGATCTGATGTTACAGTTGTTAAATGGAGTGGACTTCCTGCATGCTCATCGAATCGTACATCGAGATCTGAAACCCCAGAACATCCTAGTAACCAGTCAGGGACAGCTCAAACTTGCCGACTTCGGGCTCGCCAGAGTCTATGCATTTCAGATGGCCTTAACCTCTGTTGTTAGTTTTCTATTTCTTTGATGAAAAAAAATCATCATTTACTTTTCTTTTATAAATAATTTTTTTTATAAATGCACATTATACAAGTAGAATAAAATGGAAAAAATAACTTTCAAAATTTAAATATGAGAGTAATGCAAATAATTGGGTTTTTATGTTGATCGTGAAATTAAGCTAAAAGTAAACTGTTTTGAGCTAATTGGATTTTTCAATTCCTCCTGTGACCTTTTTATTTTTTTACCATATCCTCTTTGATATCCTACAGGTAGTGACTCTGTGGTACCGCGCCCCCGAGGTCATTTTACAGGACACCTACGCCACCCCTGTAGACATGTGGAGCTGTGGGTGTATATTTGCTGAGCTCTTCAACAGGAGGTGAATTGTTATTCCAAGCATTTTAAGACATCTTAGATTGAGCATCCTTCATTTTAAATTATGTCTGTTTTCTTTTCAAACTTTGCAAGTAAGAATCAATTTGAGCCTTAATGTGCTCAAAAAGAAATGTTAATGAGAATTGCATTTGAAATATTTGGAAAAGAGCCCTCATATTTTCCCTGATGAATATGTATTCCTTTCTTTGTAGACCTCTGTTTTGTGGACAATCTGATATTGACCAGCTAACAAAGATATTTGAGTAAGTAGTATTATGTTCATAGAAAAAAAATCATCTTATAATTCTTGCATTCCCCAACCCAACTCCACCTTTTTTTAGCTCACCTGAGCCGAAGGCTCAAGTGAGCTTTTCTGTTCGAAATTTGTCAGTTGTTGGCATTTTAAAATGTCATAAACTTTTCACATCTTCATCTTCTTCTTCAGAACTACTGGGCCAATTTCAACCAAACTTGACACAAAGTATTCTTGGGTAATTCAAGTTCAAAGGGCTGTGTCTACTTCCCAGAGTAGATGATAATCAATTACTGAAAATTTAATGGCATCTTTTAAAAATCTTCTTCTCAAGAACCACTAAGCCAGGAAAGATTTCACTCATGTGGATTCATCTTCAGGTAGCGCTGGTTCAAGTTTGTTCATTTCTTGAACCCTTGGGGTGGGGTGGGGCAAAAGTAGTTGATCTAAGTTTTATATAGGAATATATAGGAAATATCTTTAAAAATCTTCTCAAGAACCACTAGGCTAGAAAGATGGAACTCGTGTAATCATCCTCAGGTAATGTAGATTCAAATTTGTTCAAAACATGACCCCTCAGAGGTAGGGTGGGACCACAGTGGGCGATCAAAGTTAACATAGGAGTAAAAAGGAAAAAATGTTCAAAAATCTTCATCTCAAGAACAGCAAAACTATGATTGGTCATATTTATATGGAAGCATCTTCAGGTGGTTTAGATACAAGTTTGTTCAAATCATGACCCTGGAGGGGGATGGGGGGGTGGGGGGGGGGGGCCACAATGGACGATCAAATTTAAACATATGAGTATTATGGGAAAATGTTAGAAAATCTTCTTCTCAAGAACAGAAAGGGCATTATTGGTCATATTTATATGGAATCATCTGCAGGTGGTGTAGAATCAAGTTTGATTAAATCAATGGATGATCAAATTTTTACATAGGAATATATAGGTAAATCTTCTCAATAATAACAAAGCCATGATTTTCATAATTATACAGAAGCATCTGCAGGTGGTGTAGTTTCAAGTTTGTTCAAATCAGGACCCCCAGGGTAGTGTTGAGCCACAATGAAAGGTTTAAACTTGTAGGGAAAAGTCACAGTTAGTCAAAAAAATATTTCAGCATCCTTAGTGTAGATTCAATTTCGTTCAAATAATAATCCCCCCCCCTTCTCTCTGCGTTTTAGGTTTTAGGGATAGGTCGGGACCACTTATGCAAAGCTTTTCAAAACTGATTTTGCTTTTTTCCTAGCCACAATGCTCAGGTGAGCAATGTGGCACCTGGGCCTCTTGTTTTTTTAAAATATGATGATTTCTGAATTTATACATGTAAAAGACCATTCTGATTAAAATCAAACCTTCCACTAGCTCCTTTTTTATGCTTCCACATGACCACCAAAATAAGGTAACTAGTGGAAGGTTTGATTTTAATCAGACCGATACAAGGCAATCTAAAATTTAAATATAAGCTGAAAATAGGGAGTGTTTGGATATAACCATGTGACTTGTCTTTTTCAGTGCCTTGGGTCTTCCTAACGAGAGAGACTGGCCAGAAAATGTTACACTGCCGTACAATTCATTTAAATCTAAACCTCCTCAACCCATAAGTCACCTTATACCAGAGATAGATTCTGATGCCAGGGATCTACTTGAGGTAAGATGATATCATTATTAGAAAAGACTGGCCAATACATGTACATGTCGAAAGGGGAAACTGTCCCCTCCTTTCCTTTCCTTTCCTTGCCCCAGAGAATCCAGAAGCCAGGGATCTCCTATTGAAAAGGAATGGCTAATGCCGATGTCTAATTTACATGTAAGTTTATAATACAATGTCATAAAATTATTTTATTTTAAAGATAAAGGGTTTTTGATTTGTCTTGTAGAAACTGTTGATATTCAATCCACACAATCGCATCACCGCTCACGAATCCTTGCAGCATCCGTACTTCAAAGACGAGCTGGACGGAATCCGAACGTCCAGTTCTCTCTCCGAGAGTGAATCTCTGGACACTTCAGACTGCCGCTCCGACACACCCGTCAGCAAGTGAAAAACTGGTTCTCCATTAAACTAGTGTTCTCTTTTCCAGACGTCCACGATTTCCCTTCATTGAACAAATGGTCGTTTTTGGAAGGATGTAAAAATTGTTATCTTGTTTTACTATGGCATCTCAAAGTCCGAAATTTATGCTTTTATAGATCTTGAAATATGAAATGTTGTTATTCAATTTATATGCATTCAATTTGTAATAATATGGTTTGTTGACAATTCCTATGGCAATACTGTGAAAGATCTGTGATATTGTTATACCTTATACACAGTAATGAATTCAAAATGAAAAAGAGATACATGGGTATAAAATGCATATGTTTTTTGCTTTCACACATTTTTAAGGACATATTTTTAATGTCTTGATCTCTTAAAATTTTGTTCAAAGTTTCCTTGGAGAAAAATATAACATCTCATTGTGTGGCAGTACCCAAACAAAAATTTACTTTTATAGTTAACTACTGGTAATTGTAAATACTTTGATTTACTATGGCATAGAAAAAAATAATTTGAAATCCAAAGTAAAAATACTTTAACTATACTACTCGAGTTAAAAACTTTGATGTACTATATTTACTGTGGTGAAAACCTTGATACACTTGTAAACTAAGATAACTTAAGTACAAGTGTATTTTTTTGTTAGGGTATCTGCATTAAAAATATGTAATCATGAACGTTTTGAATATGTACATATGTTAAGTGTAGATGGTGCAAAATGCAAACTTTATTTAGTTCAATAATAATACATTATTAACAAAGTCTGTCTTTTATTAAATATTAATAATATAGAACAGAAAGTAATTAAATAAAGTCTGCATGAATTCTGTAAATAGAAATTGGAACTTGTACAATGAAATGATTTGAATGAAAATTTGGAGGAAGTATAGAGCAACTCAAATTTTGATACTGTGTTTATTTATTATGAGTGGTTTGCATTTTATTTATTGTATGTTGTTGATTTTGAAATGCAAAACTTGATTTAGAATTTTTACTTTGAAGAATGTTTGCTTGCACATCTAAATAAACCAAGTATTTATGTTTATACCCCAAGACTGAAACCTGTTTGCAATTATGAAATTTCTTTTGAGATATATTTGAATTTGATTTATTTTTCCTGTAAGTGCAGGTATAATATGGCCTTGAATTTGATATATTTCTATATGTTTTTCTTTGTATATGTTGATAATCATAATCTTTGAAGGTTGTTAATTTGGAATGGCATAACAATACATTCAAACTTTATTTTCCAGAGGCATATGAACATTTTTGGTCTAGTTTTTTGAAAGAATAATTTATATGGTTTTTTTTTTTTTTTTCATCAATTTATACTTTTTTTTAGATAAACTCATATCTCATTTCTTTATGCATTTAAATTTATCATATGAATGAAATTTAAATGGTCTCTAACTCTAAATGCAATAAAATGCAATTTTTACTCTTGCCAAAAATATATGCGAAGATCATGCATATTAAAATATTAATGTTACTTTTATGTATTACAATCGTGCTCTGTGAAACTCCTATAAAAAAATAATTGGCTCTCACTTATATGGATTTTTGCAAATTTTATATAAATATGCTGCATATTTTTCAGCCTAAAAGAAGGGGAAATAACTAGCTGTTGATTTTTAAATTTTATTTAGAAAGTTTCAGCCATCCCATCATTAATTCACTTCAAGCTGTTCATTGGCTTACTAATATTACTCCGAGTAGCCCCCAAAGTAGTTTGTCTAAATTGAATTCATTATAATCAAATGCTTTTGTTTATCTTACAAGGTAGATATTCACATTTTATATTAAAAACTTTATTAAATTGATTCTTTAAGTATTACTTTTACTATGCGTACATTGTTTGAGGAATGATTAACATAAAATAATCTCAATATTCAAGAAAATTTTAAAATTTTAGACAGAATTGTGACTAACTTTGAAGGCAATTACATTTTGCATTCATCAGAGATAAAATAATTTTGACCTGTCTTTCTTTGAATTGCGACTTCTCAGGTGAACAAAGAAGGCAAATTCTGTGCCTTTTGTTGTTATTTCTTTTTTGTTTCTTGTTGAAACGGACTACAGTAGTCAGTTATTACTTCAGTGAAATGAGAAAATGCAATGTACAAAAATGTAAATACATATTACATGTTGTTTTTTATTTAGTTCTTTATTTACTCATTTTTATTATGCCACTTGCATGTATGTAGATAAACTTTTGTACAGAATGAAAAGTTGAAAATTTACATTTGTTTGAATGTAAGATGAAGTTAAATTCTAAGTTACGTTTATCTTTCTGTGAAAAAAGTCATACAATAGCAATGAACAAATATTCATTTTTGATGCCCTACATCTGTGGGTGTCAAAGTTTGACGTTCAAAAAGTCATTTATTTGTTACTATACTCTAACTTACCATTCCAGCATCATAAATCTGTTTAAAATTCAAAGAGTTCTCAGCAAACATTTGTATCTCATATATATTTTTTTGTAATAATTACTTCTGTCTCTCATAGTTTTGCTAAAAAATTTCATTATAAAATGATATTTCTTGATATTTTTGTTTCATCTCGGTACATCTATAAAAGCAGATCTCATTTCTATGCTATTGATGATACATTGCCTACAAGACAGCTACTATTTAAAATATTGATCTGATTTTTTTTTTATTCTTATTAAAGAAAAAATAAAATTGTTCAATCCAGTAGACAAATAGATAATAGTTCATTCTCAGTGACAACTTTTTTTCTTTGTTACGATATGTTTTGTTTCTAATTATAGTCTCAAAGATTAGAACTAAAATACTTTTTCTTTTCATGCAATTAACCCATCTTTGAACAAAATTAGACCAGAATATATAGAATTTTTTTTAATTCCCTGTTTCTTCCAATAATCGATGTGTTACAGTAGTTATTTTCAAATCATCAGCAACATTTTTAGTTATTCAATGTTGTAATGTTGTTCTAAAGGGTATAGTTGTGGGTAATTTCCCTTTGTTTATGACTGTTCAACATCTACCATAAGATTAAGGGACCAACGCTTACTTTGATACTGCGATTTTCCATTTAAAAAAATTAATTTCTTTAAATGTTTGAATGATTCATTAATTATTGTTAATTTAATTTTATTTGTGTGAATTGATTTATGTTTGGAGTTCTAAATGTTAGCACATAAGGCATTCACAATTTGCTCATATCTTAATCACAAAATTACACAACGTCATGTAAAAAAATGTATATATATGTTTTGTCTATTGATATGCAAGCATGCCTATATTTTTATGTTTTAAGGTATTTTTATACAAATTGTGGCATTTTTGTATGATATAAACAATAAATATAAAAAGCACACAAATGCTATGTACTTCTCTAATTAGAAAGTATTTCAGAAAAGTCTATACATTTTAAGTCTATGAACCCCAAGAAAGGAAATGGGAATTGGATTGATTGAAGCAGATGAAAAAATAAGATGATATGTACTATACTCAGAGCGAATTGCTAATAAGTAAATATAGAAAATATATATATTTAATTGAAAAGAGTGAAGAAATTGAACAGTAATCGATCGCATGAAAACTAAAAACAAATCTTCCAACATTGCAAAAACATGGATCCCAGTGGTGGGATCAGGTGCCTAGAAAGAGTAAACATCCTGAACGGTCCTACCCGCCGTGAGCCAAATGTTTTGATCAAGTGTAGATGAAACATAACATATTCATTTTTGGTATCAAAACAAAGGTCAACAATTGGTTTGAAACAAGCAGTACGCCAAAATACAGACCCAAAGATAGGATATATTTGCCAACAAGATCATTACAACCACTATAAAATTTACGTAATTCTGAATTATGACGAGGCTGTTGAATTCCCTGAAGCGTCAACTTATCTTCGAGTAGCTTGCCTCGGTAAGCATTGATCGTACACTACTCAGAACATGCTCTTGAGTTGCGGAAAAGTCAAGAAACATAAACATTATATGTAGATGATAGAGGAAAGAAACTGACAATGGAAAAGTCATCTCGTTTGTCATAAATTTAGTTGTTAGTTAGCATTTATCGTCTGTATTCAGTAAAACACCCAAATACTAGTATGAAATGTAACCAAGATATATCGAGTCAGCAGATGAATGAAAATAATTATTGATATTTGATTTAAAGAATAATTCGATGTATCTAAATGTCGTGTTGAAGGCCATGACAAGTGTTTTCTTCTTATTATTACATGAAGTTTTTTTAAAATACATTCTGCTTCAAACAGTCATCTAGAAAGGCTCGAGTACAGTTTGTGACTTTTGGAATTCAAACAGTTTGTTGGAAGTCTCCAAAGACTATTTAGATTTCATCAAATGAGAACTCCAGCATCTTTTTCATATTAAGTAAAGAGTACTCATGTGTAAATTAGATAGATTACACAAGCAGTATAACTGGTCCCCGCTGACAAAGCAGGTGATAACAATTCTTTGTTTGTAAAGCCAATTACATGTATTTATAAACTGTATTTTTAAGTAGTACAGCATGCTTACTTATGACTCGGAGCTGCGAGGCAGGGAAGTTAACAGAAGTTCTTACTTGTAGAAGATTTATTATAGAGGAACTGGGGTTAAATTCTACCAGCGGTAATCCAACTTATACCCATCGCTCCCTTTCTAAAGAGGAAAATTCTTCAAAATCTTTTGTCAGTATTTAATATTTTTAATATTCCCAGGAACCAGAATGAATTTGAATTTTTTATATATCTATATTGGATTCCAAAACTTCACAAAAACCTCACAAAAATACGCAGCGACTTCCAGAAAATGTTCTATCAAGCCTCTTTCTTTACTCCTCCCTAAAATATTAACAGTATTAATTATTTATTATTAACAGGAGAAACTTCAGGAGTACTGTGCAACAATATGTTCAGGAAATAGTGTAAATCAGATGTAGATACTTAAAAATTCCAGTAAACTTTTTGACAATTTTTTAATCACAAAAATTTAGCAAAACTAACACCATTTAAAATATTGAACTTTTCAACTTTACATGCAGCCATTCCCCAAGACATAAAGTCCAGGCTTTTTTATATCACTGACAACTGCTTTATCAATAAAAATGGAACTCGTAAATAACCTTGTCACTGGTCATTTGCAAACTTGTTTAAAAACACACAATCTGATTGCACACACGAGTACATATGTACTCTGTAGTTGATATTACAAAAAGATGCTTGAGTGACAATATCTATGTGGTTTTTGGAGACACGGTCTTCCAACAATATATTGGAATTCCCATGGGTACCATTTGCGCCAGTTATTAGTTAGTTGCAGAACCAAATTTTCTCAAGCAGAGAGCTACAGTTCTGCAGCTAGTTATTAACATATTTATTTTTGTAGTCATTTGAAGCAAAATTTGTCCAAAATCTTTGTGAAAGAAGAAAACACATGTTATGGCCTTCAATTCGAAATTTAGATATATTGTCAATTAACAATGGTTATTGCCGTTCTTGTGTCGATAACGACATATTTCGTTGAGCTTGAAATAAAAGATACCACAGAATCTGACACATCTGTTTTTTATCGGTATTTGGATATTTTAGTTGAAAAAAACATTAATGGTAATCCAACAATCAAGCTTTATGACGAACGTGATAACTTTAACTTTTTCAATCGTCAACTTTCCTTACTTAAGCGTATGCAGCAATATACCTTTGTCATCCGCACACGGAGTTTATATTTCTCTGTTGATTCGATACAGAAGATCGGCATCTTCTACGTATGCACAATTTCTAAAACGAGGTAAGTTATTGAAAAAGAAGTTGACGAAACAAGAATATCAGCGTTGACAGGCCATTGTATACAGAATTGTCGACGGTTAGGGTTAAGTTAGGGTTAAGATAAGAGTTAGGGTTCAGCTACAAGGGTTAGGGTGCTAGGGACTAGGGTTATTCTGCAAGGGTTAGGGTTAGAGCTAGGGACTAGGGTTAGGCTGCAAGGGTTAGGGTTAGAGCTAGGGACTAGGATTAGGCTGCAAGGGTTAGGATTAGACCGGTCGGCAAGGGATGCTCACTCCTCCAAGGCATCTGATCCCACCTCTAATGTTTAATATTGATTTGATCTTGAATACTTTTCGTTTTCTCCAAAAATTTCATTACAAAAGACACAAAGCGGCTTGCAGTTAATGCTCTTCCAACTTAATTCTTTACTCCTTACTAAAATATTTACAGCAGTACTAGTGAGGGGAGAAACTTCAGGACTTGAACTGTACAAAGGTATACTAGCATTTGAATACAACAGACAATCAATCTAATCAATCCAAGGAATATATAGAAAAATTGAAATTAAAAAAAATTTAACATGATTTATAACATCGAAAAGAACTACCTTTCTACACTTTACACAACCACTCCCCACGATAAATTTAAGTCCAAGCTTTTTGTCATCATGGACAGCTGCTTTTTCGAAAAAAATAGAACTTGTAAATACTTACCTTGTCTTGTCATTTGCAAAATTATCTTATTAATACATTAGTACTCTGAAATTGATATTAAAATACACCTGAGTCTCTGATTGACATTTTCTATTTAGTTTTCGGAAATCAGATCCTCCAACACTATTTTGAAATTCCTATTGGTACCAGTTGCGCACCGTTACTAGAAGGCCTATTTTTGTATTCACGTTAAGCCGCGAGTCTTTTATATTTATTAGGTCGACTCCTTAGTACGCTTCTTAGTCAAATTCAGTATAAACAAGAGGCCCAGGGGCCACAGTGCTCACTTGAGCACACAGGCTAGGAAAAAGCAAATATCAGATCAGAAATGAAAGTTTACCGAGTTTGGAGGGGGGCTTAAATCTTAACTCCCCAGGGGGTCATGATTTGAATAAACTAGAATCTACACTACCTGAGGATGATTTCATATAAATATCACTAATTATGGCTTTGAAGTACTTGAGAAGGAGATTTTAAAAGATTTCCCTATATATTCTTATGAAAAACTTTGATCGACCATTTTGGACTCTACCTTCCCCCGGGGGTCATGATTTGAACAAACTTGAATCTACACTACCTGAGATGATTCCACATTACCCGTAGTTTCATCTTTTCTGGTCCAGTGGTTCTTGAGAAGAAGATTTTTAAACTTTGATCGGCCTTTTTGGCCCCATCCAAATCCCGGGGGTCATGATTTAAACAAACTTGAATCTACACTACCTGAGGATGATTTCACATGAGTTTTATCTTTCCTGTTTTAATGGTTCTTGAGAAGAAGATTTTTAAAGATTTTTCCTATATATTCCTATGCAAAACTTTGATCGGCCATTTTGGCCCCACCCTACCCCAGGGGGTCATGATTTGAACAAACTTGAATCTACACTACCTGAGGATGATTACACATGAGTTTCATCTTTCCTGGCCCAGTGGTTCTTGAGAAGAAGATTTTTAAAGATTTTTCCTATATATTCCTATGTAAAACTTTGATCGGCCATTTTGGTCCCACCCTACCCCTGGGGGTCATGATTTGAACAAACTTGAATCTACACTACCTGAGGATGATTCCACATGAGCATCTTTCCTGGCCCAGTGGTTATTGAGAAGAAGATTTTTTTAAAATGCCATTTATGTATTACCTGCTTGTTTACATATTATTGAGATCTAAATAACCTTCCACTTTCTTCCTGGATAAAAATCACAACTCCATATTTGTGTGAATTGTCATTTATTGAAAATGACAATGAGTATTAAAGAATACAATAAATTAATTTTTCTCTAATTCATAGTTATCTCCCCTTGGAAAAAGGCGTGGCCCTTCATTTGAAGAAACATGAATCCCCTTTACCCAAGGATACTTTGTGCCAAGTTTGCTTGAAATTGGCCCAGTGGTTCTTGAGAAGAAGATGAAAATGTAAAAAGTTTACGACGACAACGACGACGACAAAAACAACGACGACAGACGACGGACAAATTTTGATCAGAAGAGCTCACTTGAGCCTTCGGCTCAGGTGAGCTAAAATGCCTAATAAGTAGTACAATCAGTGGTAAAACTCTTACAGGCAACTGACAGATCTAAATAAGTACATGTTGCAGGGATATCAATAAGTCAGCATTTAGAAATATTTATGATTGTTATAATGACCGTTTGAGCATATACATGCATAGCCTTTTCAACGTCATGTACAGATTACAACAAAACAACTTTGAATCAGAGAATTCTGAAAATTCATATAAGCTCTAATTATGCTATGAGCTGTAGAATGCAAAATATTATCCTCTTGCACATGTACAGTATAAGATCCAGGATCTCAATATTACATTGAACAATCTGATAACATGAGTCTTTGACGGACGGAACGAAATTAAGAAACAGTCCTTTCAAGTTTCACTGGTTTATGATTACTATGATACATGTTTCACAAATTTTGATTTCCATTCGTCTCGTCACTCTGATTGGCATTGTGAGCTTTCTGTTTTCGATTACATTTACGTAAGATTGGTTCTGACATGTACAGTACACCAGCAAGAATACTTATGGCACCAGAAACATGAAAAGAGGCGTCCCAATCACCAGTTAAATCCTTTATCCAACCTACAAATGGAGAAATTTATTTAGATGCATAAAAGTTACCTGCACAGGCAATATGGTGACATTTTCATGATATGATACTTGTATTTTATAGAAATTTTTGCAAAGTAAACAAGACTTACTTCAGGTATATGTTGAATTGAATTTATAAATCATACAATATATTCAATATTAAACTTGAAGCCATTTGGTTTTTATTTAGATACTACAAGGATAAATTTCATTGCCAGAAAGTTCATCTAGATTGAGATACTAGTACTTGAAAGTTTTTGAATCGATCAAGTAGTGAAATGAACATGATGAATATCTTAGATATTATTAAAAGAAATGAAGAGTGTATTCATTCTCGTAGGCTTTCACAAACTTACCTGCAGCCGGTTGCGATAAACCTGCAGAAACAGACAGACAAAGGTATAACAGTCCCTGAGCTTGTGGAAGATTCTCCAGAGTAACTATCTCTAATAAAAGCAGAGGAATAAACATGAAGAAAGAACTAGGAAAAATCCCGAAGGATACCGAGTACACTATCATCCAACGATATCCTTGTATCCAAGGTAACACAAGAGAAAATATCCCTCCGAGAATAGCACATGTACCTATAATGTTTCTTTTCTGGACGAGTTTAGAGTCTGCAAGCCATCCTATACTTGGACGAGCAAAAATCATTGATCCACCAATCGTTGATAAAAATACAGCAATATCCGAATTGGTCATTCCTTGTATCCTCGCATGACCGGGTATCATGACAAAATTAGATAAATATGCAAAAATATTACACATAAAAGCTAAATTGTAAATTACAAAGGAAGCATTATGGAATAAATAAAAATTAAACAGAGGTCGTTTAGGGTGATTATCTGTTTGATTATGAACAGATTCTTTGAGTACAGCAACTTCCTCTTGAGATGCAATATGGTCAGTTTTAGTTCGAAGATGTAAGAGCGCAATTTTCTTTGTAAGCTCTTCCGGTTGCCTAATGAGGGCTGCGCAAACGCATAAATTCAACGTTAAACCACTTATCACAATAACTGCACCACGTAATCCGTAAGTGTGTATCAGAAACTTGTACAAGATTGGAAACAGAACAGAACCTATTCCCGTTCCAAGTAACACTATGCCGATTGCAAGAGCACGACGTCTCTTGAAGTAAAAGTTCACTACAGTAAAACATGGACTGTATACCAGACCAAAACCGAAACCTGCAATATAATGCAAAACATTAAACAAACTGTTGAAAAAAGGTTTAGAATTTTAAAATTGATTTTGTTGAAATAAAGCAAAAGGCAAGACTTTATCGTTAGTTTAGTACAACAACAATGTTTTAAGAAACCTGATAGTATTCCATAGGTGATGATCCAATACTCCATTCTTGGAACAAATGCACTGAGGAATATTCCTAGAGAAGCCAGGAGTCCACCAGTCATCATCACAGATCGAAAGGAGAAGTAGACTTCAGAGATATAATTAGCGAACGGAGCTATTGAGAATGAAAATAACAAAATTGAGAGAAAAAAACTATAGACAATCACAAGACAGCGTTTCGTCAATATCACATTATATATACATGGAAAAATAACACAGGCAAAATACAAAGTGAACGGACAATTTGTATCTACTTCAATTACCTTCAAATTTAATTAATATTAGTTTTCATATCTCATATTTTGTAAGTGTAAGAATTTTTACGCACCTACTGCAAAATTAAGAAAGTTAGAAAGACTTGAAATCATGGCGGTGTCTCCGGATCTTGTGTGGTAGAAGTCCAGCAGCTCCTTGTATATAATGCCGAAAGAAGTCACTCCTCCAATGTATATTGTTGCCGTTATCGTTGTGGCTGTAATAAAGAATAAACCATTTTAAATATCAAGACATCCTGACAACAGAAACATTGATGCCAATTTCTGGAAATTAAAACTTTAATGACGACAACTAAGTAAGATTCTTTTGACTATTTGATTCTAGTTGTTTTAGACACATGGCAATGATGACATGTACCAAATTAATTCAGATAACGGTCTCCAGGATATCATTCTATAAAAGTAAAAAAAAAAAAAATCATGGTAATTGAAATGAAGATGGAGAATTTCAATGACTAAAAATTGCATGCAATTCTTCAAAATCATATGTCAGTTTTGAATATTTTTAATATCCCAAATAATCAAAATGAATTTGATCGAACTACCATATTTATATTGGATTCTGAAACTTCATAAAAATCCTTACAAATAGAGATACACGCGGGTTGCAGTTAATGTTCATCCAAGCATCTTTCTTTACTCCTCACTGAAATATTAACAGAAGTGAAGGAGAAACTTCAAGAGTAATGTGCAACAATATATTCGAGAAGTGGTGTAAATCAGATGTGGATACCTAAAAATTCCAAGGAACATGGCAAATTTGAAATCGCAAGATTTTACCAAAAATCAATTGCGACTTTTTAACTTGATATACAACCATTTACCACGATAAATTAAAGTCCAGGCTTTTTTATATCATCGACAACTGCTTTTTGAATAAAAATGGACCTCGTAAATCTACTTACCTTGTCACTGGCCATTAGCAGACCTTTTTTGTATTCGTATGAAGCCGAATTTTTCCAAAATCTTAGACGTGAAAAGAAGAAAACATTTGTTGTTGCTTCAGTTCAACATTTAGATGTATCCACTACGTATAATCAACTTACAATGGTTATTTCCATTCTTGTGTCGATACAATATTTCCCAGTGAGCGTGAGATAAGAGATATCACAGAGTCTGACACATCTGTTTCATATTTGGATATTTTAGTTGAAAAAAAAGTTATAGTGGTAATCTAAACACCAAGCTTAAGGGACTCCGACCCTCAGCCAGGAAGGACAACTCTTTAATTTATAATTGAATTCAAAAAGTCTTTAAATTTAGCTTGAAAATTAAATATTTTCATGCAACAATTTTCATTATATGCCTCTAAATGTGCTTCAAGGTTCTTTGCAAAGCTCCATAAATCACTTCTAATTTCATATCTTGTTAATAAACATTGGTATCTAAAAATGCTTTTTCTACTTTTAGTTAGACCTTTCTGAGAAGTTCAGAGAACCTTGAAGCACATTGAGAGGTATATTATGAAAATTGTTGCATGAAAAGATTTAATTTTCAAGCTTCATTTAAAGACTTTCTGAATTAAATTATAAATTAAAGAGCTGTCCTTCCTGGCTGAGGGTCGGAGTCCCTTAATGAAAAAAACGTGCTGACTTTAACTTTTCACTCGTTAACTTCCCTTACTTATGCAGCAATATACCTTCATCACCTGCATACGGGGTCTATATCTCTCAGTTGATTCCTTATGCAAGAGCATACTCTACGTATGGAGATTTTCTAAAACGAGGAAAATTATTGACAAACAAGTTGATGATCAAGAATATCAACAACCTCTTTAAGAACAGATGATACAAACAATTTTTTTCTTTGGAGGATACTTAATATCATGTCACAGGTGAATTTCATGCGGAAAAACAAAATGATAAAAATCAGAAAAATCACAGAGGCTGATTTTTACCATTTTGCTTTTCCCCCCAAAAAAACTCACTTGGCTTGGTATATTTTTCAAAAGTTTATATTACACTTTTAGCATCAAGCTAACACATTCTGAAATTTGTTTTGATCTGTAAACCTATACTGAGTTTGATTTGTCCTTATTTGTAATTTGATTGAAGTATTACTAATATTTTCCAAGTCTTTTTCATTTTCCAAGCATATAGAGAAAAAATTCTAAGAATTATCCACTTTTCTAAACCTGTGACATGATATTAAGTCTCCCCCAAAGACTTAAGAGTCATCATTTCGCAAGTTTTATGGTCGACGCAATGATCTTGTAAGCAATTAAATACAATTTATCATTGAGTCAAATGGCACTGATGTTTTTCATACTAATTGTAAGGCCATTATTGACACTTTTAAATTGTCGACGGATTTTTTCGTTCTTTCCCGATCATGACAAGGAGCAAATAGTGGGTGTGACCGGTCGGCAGAGGATGATCACTCCTCCATGGCACCTGATCCCACTTCTGATGTTTTGGACGCCCGTGTTTGCTTCGCTCTTATTTTGTAATTTTTAATGGACTTTTGTGATTTAAAACTATCTCCATATATTTCATGCAATAACAAACTTACACTTTAAAGCACTGTTAGGTGACAGCAAGTAATAAAATAATGGATAAAAAAGTGAAAATATATTGAAGATAGTGAGCTAGCTTAAGGATAGTAATATAACACTTAAAATCATATGCGTTTTATTATTGCGAAAGTGAGTTTAAAGAACAGTAAAGGTGTGGTACCTGTGCTAGATATTTGATCAAGCACATGCTGGAAGGGGTCCAGAAAGTTTAACATTGTTTGAAACTTCTCTGTCTTATATTAATTTTACTTTAAGTCGAAACATGATTTAGCCGCTCCCATAATAAGGATCATGACACCTATAGAAGCTTTGATGAAGAAATTTCGTTGATTACTCTTTGAGATACAATCTACGGAATGTATATTATGAAAAAAACAAGAGTTATGTAATGCATGAACGACAAATGATATCTTGAAAGCAGAGCCGTCTTTCCAAATTAACGCTCCAAGTTTTAACATAATTACCTAGCAACACAACGTATGTGTAACAGCTACTTCTATCATTCATCAACATTATTCTGTTTCTGAATTTTCTTTAAGCACCGTACAGACTGAAATAAAAATAAATATAAACAAAAGCAGATTTTTTTTTCTAAACCCCCACCCCCACCCCCTCATCACAATATAACTATTATTTCATTTGATGATTTTCACATTTTTAAGTTATTGTTGGAAGATCTTCAATAACATGTTTAAAATAATTCACAATTGTTTCATACGCACCTCTGTGATTTATCGTTGTCTGCTACTTTGGTTCCACAAAGTACAACGCCTGGGTTACAAATAGGTAAACATTCTATATTTCCAGACTCTGTGTCGTTCAAGTTCATTCTGAAACTGGCTACAGGCACTACTTTGTTTCTCGAATGTATACGGCGGGATAAGGAAGCAAACCTAATGGAACCTTAACCTTGTTATGCTTCATTGAGCATTGTTCGTTATAATAGTAATACCTATCCAGTTTCACTTTAATGCTTTTATCATGTTCATTTTAAAAAGGACTTGTATTTTACCAAGGTAAGAGATATACAATTTACTGCCTTTAGGTGCAGAGATATTGATTTCGTCTGCGGTTAACATAAACAAGAAGGTTTATGGTCAGAACAGGTGCAGTTTGTGGATGAGTTTAGCTTACGGAATACATGGGTACATGTTCTGATCGACCAATCTTGGCATGATTTATGTTAATGTTATTGTTCTGTTTGCCTGTATGTCTATCTGTATACTAGTATTATGACAAATTTGAAAAAAAAAATAAATGGGTTACTTACAAGCATGAATAAAAACTACAAGGTAGAAGGAGAGTGACCAAAAATTACACTCCTTATATTAAACAAAGATAAAAAAAAATAGCCAAATTCCTCGCTTGTAATTTTTGTTCGAATAATACCTTAAAAATTCAAATCACACTTTTTTAAATCAAAATTCGTAAAAAAATTACAGTAGTAAAATTTACCAGTTATACGGTACTTTGATAATGTTTACATAGATATTGGGGTTTCTCTAATTAGTAATTACTTTCTCAGAGTACAATTTCTAATATAATTTATTCTCGTGAATGAAAAATAAATTAATATTATGAATTAGGACAGAGTGTCTTAACTGGAGGAAATCAGAATGACACATCATGTAGAATAATAAATCATCATTTGATGTACATGCTCTTCTCTTCTGAAGACTAATATACATACATGTACTCTTGAGATAAGAGAATTGAGATTAGGATAATGTGACACGAAAACAGTCAAAATTTCTGCAAACTCTCATACTAAGGTTTCCTTTTAAATTACTTTAAGAATAGGTCGGAAACCAAATAATTTAATTTCAAATTGGGCTATACATGAACAAGCACATTTTAACATATATTTCAGTTAATAAAATTTCTTTTTGCTATCTAGCACGAAATGCTTTTATTTTTACATAGTCAAACCTTTTTTTTTCCATTTGAAGCATATATGGTGCATTTGAGAATAACAATGATCGATCTATAATTTTTTTTTAAACAATACAAATTTGTGAAGAGGGACCTTCGGAAATTCCATAGGTGGGATCAGGTATGCAGGAGCAGCCTTATGTATAGCTCAGGTAGACAGCACATTCAGTAGTCAAATTCAGTATAAAAACAAAGTACTAGTAGTCAAAATGATGCAATCAAAATCTTCTTGGCAAGAGTAAAATGAACATTCAACTGCAGCTTTTAATTGGAAAACTCTGAGAGATGGTCATTTTATTGCAGCTTTCATGAGAAAGAGAATAAAGAATTGTTAGTGATGCAAAACGGTAGAAAATACAAACAAACAGATGAAAAACTTAATATAAGGATCATTACTATGAAATACTAAACATAAAGAGATGAAAAAAAATATATTGCAAGTTGATATGAAGTTCAACTAAGCAATCATCAGATTGATGGATTCAATACAAGCTTGTTAAAATATATATATTTAATAGCAATCAAATCAGCATAAAATAATGCGACTTTCGCCCACTTATAACTACTTAAAATGAAATTTGATCTACAAAGACATATATTTCGAGAGGTAATGAATGGCTACATCAGTTACCTTTTGGAATAAAATACTTCGATATCATACATAAATACTCAGTTGTTGCGTTGTTGATAGTTAGACTGTATGTAATGCTATAAACAATGCAATCACTGGTAATCTGTATTTTGTCTTGGTTCGTTGTACTTGCAATAAGTAAAACGATTTCAACTCAAGCACAACAAAGCAAGGATGATGCTCTTATGAGAAATATATCAGATCTACATTTTCAACTTTTCTCTTCCATTCAAGGAAGAGCAAAAATTATAAAGGTAAGGATCTGATAAAATTAATAAGTATTAAGAAATAAATTGAAAAGTGAACTTTTTAAAAGCAATTTATGCATTTATTTTTCTTAGACGGCTGTGTTTCAAACGAAATGCTCGGAGTCAGGTTGTACTTTTAATGATTGCGACAAAAGAAAGCTATTAAAACCAGGTAAATACACATCTTATATTACTTACATACTTAGTATAAGGTGTAACACTCTTGCTCTATCTAATTTTTTTTTTTAGGTTTTTGAGTGTTAAAGACAGAAAATAAGTTAAAGTTAAATTCTTTTGTTTAATAATCATATTTTAATAAATGAAAACATATTGTTTAAGGAAAAAAATGGATAAATTGATAGCTAAAATACTAATATCCATATTTAGTGAAACATTTGTTTTTAAACTTTTAGTTTGCAAGCAAGGATGGAAGCGGTACAACGGACATTGCTATCGTCTGTTCAGTACAAAGATGAACTGGTTTGAAGCTCAGGTAGTCTTCAATGTAGAGATTAGCATTTTACACGCAGATTGTATGTTCATGCATTTTGCCTTTCAAGTACCGAATTCTCAACTATTTATGTTATAATCTCCCTTTCTTTCCATGTTGCTCTTTCCACATTCTCTTTGCCATATTCTCTTTTCAGTTCTTCTGTAGAAAACAAGGCACCACACTTCTTCAAATCAACGATGCAAGAGAGAACAAATGGCTTTCAACGCATTATCCAAAAGGTAGGGAAGAATAAAAGAAAAAAATATATATTTGTGAAACACTGATGCCCCCGTATTGCAGCTTATTGCGGAGGTTAAAGTTTCTCAAATGTAAGTCAAACTCCAAGGTAAAAGTCAAAAGGACAACATTGTTGGTATCAAGAGGAAAGTTTTTTCACAAGGAATATTTATTTGAAATGTGAAGCCCTCATCGATACTGTTCAAAAGTTATGGCCAAGATTTAAGTTTTTTTTACAAAGTGGGTCAAACTCTAAGGTCAAGTTAAAAAGTGAAATTTCTATACCGATTGAAAGGTATTTACATAATAAATACACGTGAAGAATGAAATTCCTAGCACCAACTGTTCAAAAGTTATGGCCAAGGTTAAAATTTGGAATTTTTATTTAAAAGTGGATCATCCCTAAGGCCAAGGTCAAGAGGTCAAATATGTTGGTACCATAAAGAAAGGTCTTGCCACAAGAATTACTCCCGTAAAATAAGAAAGCAATAGCCCCAGCCACACAAAAGTTATGGGCAAGATTAAAGTTTTTGCGGACAGATACAACTGTAAATAGGCAGACAGACAGACATACAGCTAGACTGACGGGAAAACAGGGCCAAAACTGCATAACCCTTATTTCCAATTACGGGGGCATAAAAATATAAACATTTCTAAGTCTTTAAGAAGAATTTCTAAAATTTTGTATGCAGATTTTTTTCTATCATACGTAACAATCATCAACCTCAGTATATTTTAGCTTTTAAGCTACCGTAACATTATTACTTTCACAATACATTATCTTATATATAAAAGTTTTTTTTACCATTTAAAAAATATAAAACGCAGTTTATTACTGGATTGATCTGACTGACGCTGGAAAGGAAGGCGAATGGATGATGTTTTCCACGGGGAAACGACCTACATTTACGAGTTGGGGTAAAGGACAACCAGACAACTCCGGAAATGAAGACTGTGCCCATGATAACTCTCCAAGGAATGGTGAATGGAACGATGGACAATGCAGTAATAAAATTCAAGTGATGTGTGAATCATCAGGTTCTTATGTTTTGCTATATGTTTCTTTTTAACCCATGCAAAGGATAGAGTTATAAAACTATTTGCCTTTTGTAAACATGTGCTCCAGTCCATTTTTCCATTCATGTTTAATTACGGGTACCTTAATTCTTCAAAGCCATTGTGTAGTGCTATGTAAATATTTTAAGGTTTCATCAAAGGTGAATATGTCCGAAAATAATTACTCCAAATCAATGTGAGGTATAAAGTTAAAATTTTACAGTTTATAAACATATTATTGTTTAACAGATAAAAAGTAGAATCGGACAAAAAGTATTAAAATATTTATCGAGAAAGTACGGAATTAATAAGGTGTATTTAAAAAAAATATTTAGACATTTTTTAAAAGAATATTTTTCGATAAATATTTTATTCAGTATTTGTTATTAAGTGGTACTTTCTATCTGTTAATGATATATTTATAAAATGTGAAAGTTTCAACTTTATAAACCACATAGTTTTGCAGCTAAATAAATTTTGGACATGTTGTTGAACTTTGATAAAACCTGAACTTAATACGTATTTAAACATATACATACTAGTATTAGGAATAATAGCGGTATGTCTTTGAATGCTCCTTCGAAAAATTTTCACTCATTTTTAAACGCTACCACTTGTCAGTATATGACTGCAAATTAAGAGCTGTACTCGGCCTTTTTGCGTTTTTATCAGAATGACCAGTCTCCACTTTCCGTTGTGGAATTCGAACCCGCGATGTTAGGATCAACTTCTTTTCTGTGACTTAAAACTGATTTATAGATAAAGATTTATAGTCAAAATAATTAAAATATGTTGTACATTTCATCCACAAATTCATGAACACTTACACGAAAATTACAAATATAGATAAGTTTTCTAAAAGTTACCATTTTGCACCCATATTTTTACATTGTAGTTGATGAAAAGAAAATAATTAAGGATGTTCAGATTGAGGGTATTCACTCATATTTTGTGGCGTTAGTTGTAATATGCACCCCAATTTGTTATCCATCTACCTAATATTGTAGATAGGGTTGGTGAAATCTTTGTAGAAAGTGCTAAAGAAGTATTTGGCACAAAACAAATTTACACAAACTGTAACAAAGAAATCAAAAATTGTAAAGTTAATAAACCTTGGTTTACGGCTGATTGTAAATGTGCCAGGCAAAACTATAGAAAAGCAAAGAGACTGTATAAAAAATTTGGTGGTTCTATTTTCAAAACAAACTTGTATGAAAAAGAAAAGCTGTATAATCAGAAACTAAAACTTGCTAATAGTAAACATAGAACAGAAATGAAAAGGAAACTAAGATACCTACGCACTTCAAACCCTAAAGAATATTGGAAAATTTTAAATACAAACATAAATAAACAAAGATGTATGGCTGACCTAAACGATCTTTATAATTTTTATAAAGACTGTAGCAATATGCAATTCAATGAATCAAATGATAACTATGTTTTGAATGAGGAAGAACTGCTTCTGGTATCTGATATGCAGTTGAATCACTATATTAATCAACCAATCACACATGATGAAGTTCTTAAAAGTATTAAATTATTGAAAAATAATAAATCTAGTGGTGATGACAGAATCATAAATGAGTACATCAAGAGTACATCTGACTGTTTACTGACCTTGTATGTTGAGCTATTTAATAGAATATTTGATTCTGGAATAATCCCCTCACAGTGGACTAATGGCAATATAATACCAATATATAAAAACAAAGGTGATAAATCTGATCCTAAAAACTACAGACCAATTACATTAATAAGTTGTTTGGGTAAATTGTTCACTTCCATTATGAATAATACATTTTATCCACAGAGACTAAATAACTATGCTGACAGAGCTCAACTTATCTTGGAGAACCAAGCCGGTTTTCGAAAAGATTTTTCTACTCTGGATCAATTTTTTCATTATACTCACTTATTGAACTGTTTAAATTATATAAAAAGAAACTATACTGTGTTTTTATAGATTTCGAGAAAGCCTTTGACTCAGTCTGGCGATTAGGTCTTTGGAATAAAATTTTATTGAACAATATAGATGGCAAATGTTTTAAAATTATAACTAATATGTATAAGGATATTAAATCTAGAGTAGTAGTTAATTGAGTATCATCAGAAATGTTTTCATGTACTGTTGGAGTAAGACAAGGTGAAAATCTATCACCATTTTTATTTGCACTGTATTTAAATGATCTTGAAGGTTTTTTGTTTGACAAAAATGTAAAAGGTTTGAAAAATCTGTCTGAGAAAATTGAAGATGAACTTAATATATATCTGCGGCTTTATGTTTTACTTTATGCAGATGATACTATTCTATTATCAGAATCCCCTGAAGATCTCCAGTACCAACTTGAGATGTTTGCTGAATACTGTAAAAAATGGCATTTGAAGGTTAATAGTGCTAAAACAAAAATTGTTCTATTTGGTAAAGGTAAAAGATGTAATAATAATACATTTAAGTTTGAAGGTGTTCCATTGGAAATTGTTGAAAATTTTAAATACTTAGGAGTAACATTTAGTAAAAGTGGATCTTTTAATTTGAATATTAAGGATATGTATGAAAAAGCTACAAAAGCAATGTATGGTGTTCTTGGAAAATGTAGAAAACATAATCTTTCAATTGACTGCAAACTAGATATGTTTGACAAAATAGTGAAACCAATTTTGTCATATGGTTGTGAAATATGGGGATTTTGTAATGTTGCTCTTATAGAGAGACTTCATCTAAAATTTTGTAAGCATGTATTAAATCTTAGGTCTTCCACGCCTAATTTTATGGTGTATGGAGAACTTGGTAGATATCCTCTATCTATTAATGTTACTCGTATGATTTCTTTCTGGGCAAAACTTGTGGTATCACAAGGCACTAAAATGTCATCAAAACTATTATTTGTGTTAAAAAATTATGATATACCATGGTGTAATCTGTTAAAAATATTTTGAATGAGTGTGGATTGGCTTATGTATGGCAACAATATATATTACATGGTTAAAGAATAAGGTGCAAAATATTCTTGTAGATCAATTTAAACAATTGTGGTATAGTGATATGTATAATTCACCAAAAAGCCTTAATTATAGACTGTTTAAAAAGTCAATAACATTTGAGAAATACTTGTTGAATTTACCTCCTAAACTTTCTATGAAATATTGTATTTTTAGAACTGGTAATGCTGGCTTCCAATTGAAACAGGCAGATGGTATAATATTTTAAGAGAAAACAGAATTTGTCACTTGTGTTTATGCAAGGAAATAGGAGATGAATTTCATTATTTATTTAAATGCACTGACCCATACATTAAGAATTCTAGATTAAATCTATTGCCCAAGTATTATTACACAAATCCTAATGTTTTTAAGTTTGACCAACTATTTAATTTGAACAGCAGGGAAAAATTAATTAAGTTATGTAAATTTATTGGAACTATTGTGAGAGTCAAGTCTTGGTCTATGACATTGTCATTTTTTTCTCTTTTTTTTCTTTGTCTCACGCATGCTTAATTAATTAATTGTAAATATTTTGTGTTATATCCTCTCTATACTGTTTTGTACAGTTTATGAGAATAAAGTCTTGTCTTGTCTTGTCTTGCGATGTATCTCTTAAAATAATGAATTTAATTGCTATACAGTTTTACTCAAAGAAGTGTACTGATTACTTTAAATTTGATCAAATTAAAATCGTCCACTCGCGGTTAGGGCAAACATAATACGGAAATAAGACGAAGAACATCTTGAACTTGACCGATCGGCAATTATTTATATTTGATTTTCATATCTTAATTGTATCTACATTTATTGCTTTATTTTTTAGGATCTGGATTTTGAACCTGTGGGAAAACTGGAAAATAATTAAAAAATAAACACATTCTTTTATTTTTGTGTTGCATTATTATATATTTTCATTTTTGATTGTCTTTTTGATTTTTATTTTGTTAGTAAAACGGACAAATGTTGATACAAATAAATCGAAAGTTAACCAGCCATGATTGAGGAACGAGATTTAGAATGGGCGTTTTTGAGAGTGAGTGGCTGCCTCGGAAATTTCCCTGTACATTTTCTAAGGCCAATGTCAAGAGTTATCATGCAAAGGAAGAAGTGCCAAAACTACTTTCTGCACCCCCATTTTTTAACGACGAATTATGTTTTTTTTTGCTACGGCGATTTTGAGTTTTCCAGCAAAAGTGAATATATATGACGCCTTTTGAATGGATCCAATAGTAATCCGACACATTTTAATCGTTAGGTACATTTTAACCAATGAATGTATGATAAATCTCCTAGCTTAGTGAGGAAACATGGGTGCACTGTTGTCTAACTTAAATGTTAAAATGGACAGAGAGATATATATATATATATATATATATATATATATATATATATATATATATATATATATATATATATATATATATATATATATATATATATATATATATATATATATATATATATATATATATTCATGCAGAGAGAAGTGTCCATGAATTTTTACAGTTATAAGAGATTTTTCTAGTTTCTAAAATTAAGCTAATGTTTTAGGTTTTAAAAACAATTCTTTCTAAATTTTTGAGCTTTCAAATTACATGCAATCTTTAGTGAATATACGACTAAATTGTCATATACAAATTTTAATTGAAAAATTCAAATTTTTGTAAAGGACAGAAGCCATAGCTCAAAAATGGCCTTCTTTGCTTCAGAAATTCAGTAATTCATATACCTACACCTTTAGGAAGGACCATCAATGGTAGCTTGAAAGATAAGGTAGTTTTTTTGTAGGTGAAGTTCAAATACTTGTAGGTGACAATGCTGCTGTAAATAGGCATAGTGGTGTAAAAAAAAAATTTGAAGACAAGAACAAATAAAGAACTTATTCTCCGTGATTTTATTTCTTGCTAGATATTAGTCATTTTGGCATATCTTTATTTCAAAAATCAAATCAATGGAAGTCGCCACTGTTATAAGCATCGGTATTTTTGGGTTAACTCCCTTTCCCCCAAAAAGAGTATATAGTTGATTTGAAGACCGGAATATTTTTTTGATATTATTAAGCAATCGTCGAAATGTTATATGCATTACAAGCTTATGAAAGTTATATACCAAAACAAGAACAAATTATCGTAGTATGACTTTCGCCCACTTATGGCTACTTAAAATGAAATTTGATCATCAAAGATATACATGTATTCCGTGCGGTGATGAATAACTTGCATCTGGTACCTTTTGGAATATTACATATAAATACTCACTTATTGCCTTTGATAACAGTTAGACTGAATGGATTCCTAAACAATGCGATCACTTGTAATCTGTATTTTGTCCTGGTTTGTTTTACTTGCAATAAGTAAAGGGATCTCAGTTCGAGCACTCCAAAGCAAGGATGATGTTCTCATGAAAAAAATATCTGATCTACAATTTCAACTTTTTACTTCCATTCAAGAGAGAGAAAAAATCATAAAGGTAAGGATATTTTTGCATGGCTATTAAATCTAATAATCCTATACCTATTTATTATGCATTTCTCTTGCATAGACGGCTGTATTCGAAACTCAATGCTCGGTGTCTGGCTGTGCGTTTGATGTTTGTGACAAAAGAAAATCGGGTAGATATTTGTCTACTTATATCTGCATACTATATGATACACTCCTGCGCAATGTTATCTTGAGATTTATGTATAAATTTGATGACAAAATTTTCGAAAGATTTCTATTTTTGTAAAGGATTTTTTTTTAAATTTAAATTGCAAGCAGGGATAGAAGCGATACAACGGCCATTGCTATTATCTGTTTAGTGCAAAAATGAATTGGTTTGAAGCCCAGGTATAAATTTTTAAAGAGACTAGCATTTTACTCACAGATAGAATACTTTCCTATTAAGTCATTGGATTTTTCATTACAAAGTTTTTTTCATTAAAATAAATTAGATTAGGCTTAATTCATAATGATCTCAACAGGCCCTCTGCAGGAAACAAGGGGCAACACTTTTGCAAATCAGTACCGAGGGGGAAAGCAAGTGGCTTTCAAAGAATTATCCAAAAGGTATTTAAAGTGATACAGCCAAAATAGAAATTTACTAGGATTAAAAGTGTTTTATTAAATAATTCTCAAGTTACAAAACAAAATCTTATACCGTAAAGTGTGTTATTTAAGCGGGATGCTAATTTTAGCTAATTTTGGCGTTTTGGTAGTAGCCCGCTAAAATTATAATTGTTAATTAAAAATATTCAGTATTCTTCCTAGTGTTCTTTTGCAATGAGTTGGATCCCTGTCTTCGCTAAATTATATTACGACAAAATTTTTAGCATATCTTTGAGTAAGCAAATCGCAAAATTTTACACCCACCAAGAAACCTGTCATACTGTATTTAGACATTATCGTGTACATTTATTTTGAAAAACATGTAAATTTTAAACGTTGCAAAAATATTATTCAGTTCATTACTGGATTGATCTGACTGACATTGGCAAGGAAGGAAAATGGATTGCATTTGCAACTGGGAAAGGACCAGCTTATACCGCGTGGGGTAGGAGACAACCAGATAATTCTGGGGGAAATCAAGACTGTGCCAATAATAACTGGTCAAAACTTGGCGACTGGGACGATGAAAACTGCATGAAAAGACTGCAAGTGATGTGTGAAGCATCAAGTTGTTTTACTTATTTTGTATACCTCTTATTATTTTATCCTTATGAAAAGAAAAAGTCTTAAACAATTTAACGAACGATTACTAGTGTATTAAAATTGTTGCCCCCTTTCTTTTAATTTAGAAAATAATTTTGTTTGCTTTAAATAAAAGTATACCAAATTTGAATACTACTACATCTATCGACATTTAACAAATAACTAAAATAATTATATCATAAGATAGTAGAATATTTAATGAATATAAAAACATATTTGATTCCACACAAATAATTATTTATTTAACAAATAACTAAAATAATTATATCATAAGATAGTAGAATATTTAATGAATATAAAAACATATTTGATTCCATTGAAGAGTCAAATATTTTTTACTTATATTTTTTGTTACTCTTAAAGACTGTCTGAATGTGATGCCATAAAACTTATCAATTACTACACTTTACATTAAAAAAATATTCAAGTCATTCATTTAATTCATCATGATATCTCCTTATTAATTTGAGTCAATGTTTATTTCAGGATCTAGATTTTAATTCTACAGAAAAAGGAAAAATAATGATAATAAAATATTAAATGCAATCAAAATCGCCCTGGCAAGAGTATAATATCAGAAGTTTTATTTCTTATGTGTGTTTGTTATTTTTGCAGTCATATGACATGATTGTCTCATTTTGTAAAGTTTATCAGAGTGACAAATAATGAATCAATAAAATCGAAAATGAATGCCTCAATGTTTTAATATAAAGAAAGTTTTGTTAAATATATTCCGCAGTTTATTTTATCATGTGACTTTTGGAATTAAATTCTTCATTATATATAAATACTCAGGATTTACATTAATTCTTCACTTGTTTTCTTGCATAGATTTCCGTAAAACTGATGACAACAAGCAATTCTTATATATCAAATCTACATTTTCAACTTTTTACTTCGATTCAAGAGAGAACAAAAATTTTAGAGTGATATATGGACAAAAATTTAATTCATGTTTGTTTTTTAAGATGGCTGCACGAGTATTTGATTGAAAATACACTACATCCTTTAAAAATTCTTTTCTATACTAATGGCTATTAAGGTGAAATGTCCCTCTGATGAGAGAGAGGCCTTTATTTCTAAGGAAACCATTACAAGTAATTCAATGAATTGTCTTACACCATTTAATTACGAGGTTTTTTATACAGTCAAAATATTCAAATATGAAATGTTTCAATTTTTTCTAAAACACTTGTAACTATAGTCAGATTATTTATCATCATTTTACAACTGTTGATGAAAATTTTGTGTGCTGGTTATCATTTTACGATATTCATTTTTCATGATTAATTTGATGCCTCGAGAATTTTTACATAACATGTATAAGAAAATTTAAAGAATGGAATTAGTAAGGCTACTATGCTACTGTTGTACTATGTAGCTATCAATATCATCATTATAGGAAGTAAAACTTGCTTTGTCCGTTCACATGTAATTGTTGTTTATTCCATGCGACTGGTCAGTATTGTCAGTGGTATTGCTGGGTTCTGTGTTTCATGTGCAAAGTATTATTGATTCCATTGAAATCAAACATCCAATCTAGGAGTAAAATGATAATCAGCATACGAAATTTTAGCACGCCCCATCAAGCAAACTGTCACGCTGTTAGTAAAACGATAATACCATTATAATGCGTGATCTTGTTTTAAAACTTGTTTCAAACACAGCTCCTGCTTTTTTTTGATACATTTTATATGTTGAATGAGCTTTAATGATTTAGAAAATATAAAATGCAGCTTTTTACTGGATTGATCTGACTGACGCCGAAAAAGAAGGTGAATGGATTGCTTTTTCTACGGGAAAACGGCCTACATTTCAGAGATGGGGTAAGGGACAACCGGACAACTCTGGAAATCAGGACAATGCCTATAATAACTGGACACGGCTTGGCAACCATTGGGACGATTACAGCTGTAGTTATAAATTCCAGCTATGTGTGAATCGTCAGGTTCTATTTTTGGTTTAATTACTTATTTGCAGTGAATAGTTATAAAACTATTTAGGTTGTTTATTCTTATATAAAACAACAATATTGTACTCCTTGCAAATTTCAAGACAAATTTTGATCGCTTGCAATTTAAAGGCTTTATATTTCAAAACATATTTATGCGTATACACATGCATAATAACCACAGTAACTGTTATTTTGGTTTGAATAATGCAAATACATCATTCAATATGATGGGCATAAATTGTTGAAATACTAATACCTGTATGTTTACAAAAAGACAATAAAGCTTCCTACTAAACAAAAAAGTTAATGGATATCTATTAGGGATGGCAAAAAGTAAATTGTTACTCGGTCGAAGCAATAGTTATTAGGTAGTAAACCAGCCAGCCCTGTATCTCTTGAAATAATATTTTTTGAATTATTAATACAATTGATGAAGAATAGTTCAATCCACACTTTTCAAAAGTTATGTCTCTTTGCCTCCATCTTAGGGGATAAATTCATAGAATCCTCACAGTAGCCTTTGTACTTTTCAGGTTTCTAACTTTGTCATCTGACTAGCAAAAACAGTTGTATAGTGTATACTGATTGCCCCATGTTGGGGCTACCCACACATCCAAAGAAAACCATTTATACACAGTGGATTCATCATAGCCCGCCCAAATGTTTAGTAGCATAAAGAGGAGAAATGTTGTTTCTTTCCCCTTTGACCTTTTGGTTGACCCCACAAAGGGACACAACTTTTGTAAAGTTTGGATTGGACTATTCAGCACTATTAGAATTCACCCACTTATGACGAGGACAAGAGGGAGGGGAAAAATTAAATGCTTGTTGAAAAGTGTAAACTAATTTCATTGTAGACTTTATCTCTTTTATCCTTTAAAGATATCTTTTAAATTATATAAATTAACCATTTTTCAATAATCATTCTAAATTCTACATAAAGCATTGGTTCGGTTCTGGTTATGGAGACAATACGAACATGTCTGTGACATCTAGTCTGAAAAGAAAAATAATATGACATAGTGAATTCCATATTAATTTATTTTCATTACTTTCTGTTTCATTAATTATAGCTAAATTATAAATGTAATAAAGGTTACATGAAAATGTCTAGATTTATTTTACGATTACCCAGTGAATAGGTCATAACATCCTGCGTTTGGGTTCTACATGTATGTTATTCGATTTCTTAATCTAATATTTATCTGTATACTTATTTTTATTAATATCAGTTGTAACATACATATTTATAATATGGTATTACAACAATATATCATTAATTAAAATAATAAACACTACAACAAAACGATAATTTCTAAACATGTTTTATTGCTTTTTTTCAGAATCTGGAATCTGATAATGCACGAACGCTTGAAAATAAAAGGAAATAAAACACTTTTTATACATCATTTTTATTTTGTTCAATTGTTTGCCGATTTATGCTGCTGAATTACATTATTGAAGGCCTCATTGCTTTGGTTTGGTCATATTAGTTGACAAGTGCTGATACATATCTATTAAAAAAATCTATAGCTTAAACAGGCATGTATAACTGGGTGGGGTAAAGGCGGGTGTGAGGAGCTGCACTGTACTTTTACTTGTCCTTTTCCAGAGACTTGGCTTTTGCTGTTTGATATAAAAATGGTATGTTCCTTGGCTTAACGATCAATATAATGTAATTTTTTTTTCTAGACATTTTCCTTATGTTTTTCTATGTCAAACATAAAAAGAGGTCTTATGTATTTCAACTTTTCAAAAAGGAAAATGATTTAACCAAATTCAAATACATGTATTAACTTTTTGGTATATCAGAGTTTTACAACAATCATTTGAAAATTATTATCAAATTATTCAGATAAAAGAAATGTGCTGAATATGAAGAATTCAAGCCCTGAATTTTTTTTTTAGAAAAATGATTGTGAATTATTGTTCCTTTATTATTTTTCCCATGTTTTTTGTGTCCTCAATCCTGGCCGAAGGGCTTTGTCTGTAGCCTTGTACCGGGTATTTTTTAGTTTTAATTACTATGCGAAACCTTGGCCCATCTGTAATTTTAACTCTGCTCCGAGGACGTCCAATGAATAAATTCTTAATGAGGACGATCATGAAGAAAATTTGATATTTTTTAAAGCTTTTAAGCAGTAATTTCTATATACCTTTTCTATAATATATTTTGGATTCTCTTACTGAAAAACTTTTATACTAAGTGTTCAAATAGTCAATACTTTTAAAAATTCAACTTAAATTGAACTATCAGTTGTAAATCTACTGACTTGAGTGAAAGTAAAACAACAAAGTAGATACTCATAAGTGGTGTACCGGTATCACATTTCTGTATCCTGGCTGCTGTAGCATTGCCTTGGAATATCAAAAAATTGATAAGAGGGGTAAAAAAGCCTGATTACTAATATATCAACTGGGCTAAACTATTCTTCAATGCGTTTATTCGCTAAACATGTTTAAATAATTTCTTAACATTTATTTGTGATTTAAGTAAGAAACAAATGAAAATCCAAATGACACATGTACATTGTAGTAAATTTTAAAAATGCAAACTGATTGAATGGGATTAAAATAAATCAAATGTATTGTACATATAAAATATGCAGAAAATTCTGAGCAATCTTTTATTAAACCGTTAAAAGAAATTTATAATCTAAGACACGGAATGGAATTTTTAAAGAGAAAATACCTTTTCTTTTTTAGGTTTGTGTAATATTTGATATTTCTCTCTGTATTATGTCATCTTAAACTGTTAGAGGCTGTGTAAGGTCTTTTGCAATTTTGGGATCATGCGATTCGCCCACTTGTAACCACTTAAATTGAAATTTGATACCCGAAGCTTTGTTCGAGCTGTCGTGACCACATGTAACCTCCATCTGTTAATTCATATATATTAAATAAATACTAAGGTATATAAATAAAATTGGATACTTAGAAGTTTGGGACAAATTAGCTCTGGGGAAACCTGAACAATGCAGCTACTGATTTTAAGTATTTTGTTTGGGTTAATTATACTTGCTCTAGGTGAAAAAATTTCGATTCGCTCACTACAAGATAAGGATGAGATTCTTATGAAAAATATATCAGACCTCCATTTCCAACTTTTTTCCTCCCTTCAAGAGAGAGCAAAAATTTTAAAGGTAAAGAATTTAATAATGCATTTTTAATAAAAATTATATACTCATATATTTTTTGGAAAAGCTTCATAATATCATTAATGTACTTATAGACGGCTGTATTCAAAACTCAGTGCTCTGAATCAGGTTGTACATTTAATGTCTGCAACTCCAAAAAGCCGATACAACCAGGTATGTGTGCAATCTGTACATTTCCTAAGTATTTACATGTTTCATGTATAAAGTACTGTTCAATGTTTATTACATTTTTTTTAATATTAAATGATGTTTACAATAGAAATAATACTGAATAAAATAATTTAAGATTTGAACTTTGGTAATGGAACATTTTTATAAATAAATGAAAGAAAAAACTAACTAAAATCTGTTTTCAAATGTAATAAGTTTTTACTTTCAGTTTGCAGTTCGGGATGGAAGCGGTACAACAAACATTGCTATCGTCTGTTCAGTACAAAGATGAATTGGTTTCAAGCACAGGTAACTTTCTAAAGTACATGTAGATATTTATTCTTTTATTAAAACTTAATTGATGTTTCTTTCCAAATTCATTTTCATTCAAAATTGATAATTTCAGTTAAACTTTTGTTTTAAAAAAAATAAATCCTTACAGATGTTTTGCAGAAAGCAAGGGACCACTCTTCTGCAAATAAATGATGCAAGAGAAAGCATGTGGCTTTTAAAGAATTTCCCAAAAGGTATTACAGTACTAGTATATATGACCAAAATGAAAATTAAAAGAAAATGCTACAAATATCCAATGTCTGTTAATGCTTTGGGGTAGAAATTAAAAATAGCCTGTGAAATTCTTCAAAACAAACTTAATCTTTTTGTCTTGTTGCAACCACCCCCCCCCCCTTTTTATTTTAGATATATTCATGTTTTGTAGTCATTTTGTAAAATGATTTTTAAAAAAAATAGTTCGATACTGGATTGATCTGACCGACATTGGCAAGGAACGGACATGGATGTCATTGTCTACTGGAAAAGGGCCAACATTTACTAATTGGGCCAAAGGACAACCAGATTACGGGAAATTAAAACAACACTGTGCTTATTGTGCCAATTGGTCAGGGCGTGGTGAATGGGACAATGGGGAATGTGACTATAAAACTCAAGTGATATGTGAATTATCAGGTCTTTTATATTCCTAATGCTTCCATATATTTCTCTGAATTGTCTAACCTAAAAGAAACATCGTTTTAAAAGTATTATGGTCAAAGTCATATTCGTTATTTGATTTTTCTTTTATTTAAATTTAATTTTCTTTTTTTTTTTATTCAATCAAATAAAATGCAGTTAAATTTATAATAACAACAACAACTTGAAATAATGATTTGGTTTGACTTCATTAATAACATATTAGTGTTTCATATGAATAATAATACACAAAAAATACAAATAAAATGAATAGAAAAAAACCTTTCAACTTTTCGTAATTTTGATTTAAAATGATCAGAAACAGATATCATTATAACTTTTAAGTAAGTTACAGGTTCAATATTATAATTAGCTTCAAATAGATTTAAAGAGAATCTTAATCTATTGTGTTTGTTTTTTGTAGGATCTGGATTCTGATATTTTATGAAGGCGGGAAAATAAAAATGAAATTACAATCACACATATTTCATTACTTTATTTTTGCTTACCAGGGTCATCTGTTTGCCGATTTCAATCGCTATAGTATATATACTGTGTTCCTTTGTCTCCTTCATTTATGCTAATCAGAATGACAAGTATTTGAACACATAAAAAGGAATTAATAAAGCTATTAGTCAATTTACTGGTCATTGGAGTGACACATTTTTTCTTCAATGTCCTGTTCTGTGATATGTTCGTTTGTTCCGCACTTCTTTTCTCGAAAATCTGATAGATGAATGCACCTTGGAGCTATTACTAAGGTCAAAACTTTACAATAAATAAGGAATTTTTAATATAACAGTTAAACAACTACAATATTCATTTTAAAAAAAATGATTAAAATAAAACAGAGTGAAAGCACTAAATAAGAATTTGAAAGTACTTGTCCTACATTCCCCAGAAAAACAAGATGTGTTTGTGAAACACTATGCGCCCGGCGGCAACAAAGTTCGGAAAAGGCTATTTTTAGCATTAAGGTCACAGTCAAGGTCACAAGGTCATTGACCTTGGTGTCATTTGAAAGAGCTTGGTTAGTGGAGTATGCGTACCAAATATGAAATCTCAATCTCTCATGGTTAAAAAGTTATAGTGAGGGTTTGCAGAAAAAAACTAATTTTAGCATATAGGCCACATGCAGTTAAGGACACAAGGTCATTGACCTTGGTATCATTTGAAAGAAGTTAATTAGTGGAGTATGCATACCAAATATGAAGTCTCTATCTTTCATGGTTCAAAAGTTATGGTGAAGGTTAGAGTTCGAGACAAACAGACAGACGGACAGGACAAAAACAATGTTCGCCCTGGATCATTCGATCCTGGCGCATAAAAATGGTTTTAGAAATTCAGATCAATTTTGAGATCATATTCTTGCTCCGGGGAATGATTCTAGATTGAATAATCCTTTATTTAATTTAATCAATATTTTATTATGTAAAGTAAGATTACATAATTGGATTGGACATCAGGCATGGCCTATATAAGTCCTCTCCAAGGTCAAGGTTACAAATGTTAAGTACTGACAATAAATTACAATGATGAAAATATTCCTTATGAGTTACATTAAATTCTTTTGTTAACTAACAGTGGGAAAAAAGGAAATAAATTGAATTAAATTATACAGAAGAATTATTACTAAGCTTATGCATATTCGCTATACAATATAATGACAAAAAAATAAAAAATTAAATAAATAATAAAAAAAATAAAGAAAGAAGTGCAAACAAAACAACAAAACAGAATACGTAAAGTGCAAAGAACTAATATTTAAGAAAATACAAAATAGAAAGAAATAGTAACATTTAAAAGTAAATAAATTCAAGCAATGACACTGAGTGAAGAGAAAAATAATAAAGTGCAAAGACAAATTACCAAGGAAAATACAACATATGCATAGAAAATGGAAATGCTGAGACTTGAAATAAGTAGAAAAAATAGGAAATATCTGGATTTATTTTTTTTTTAAATTACAAAATACTATCAAAATCTTTTTGAAGACTTGATGTACAGTTGGACTGCTTCAAAAATTGAACAGTTAATTTTATAAGGTAGTTGCCTATCGCCAATTAGCAAAATATTCAAAATTTGATCAGGAGACATTGTTTCTAATTCTATTAAACTCTGAAGACTTTCAAAAAGTATCATTCTCTGATTATAATAGGCAGGACATCTTAAGAAAAAAATCCTTTATCTAGAAGCCTTTCAGACATTGATTTTGCAAACCAATAAATAGGCTGAATAGGGATAGAATTAAATTACTGTAGACGTACTTTTTTCCACTGGATCATAATTTCGCGGAATCTCAATTTCCATTTAATCCGCGGGTTGAAAATTACGCGGATTTCGCAGACAGTCATTTTATGCCTTGTATTTACATTCAGTACGCTTGGAAAAATTTCCGCGGAAAATTTGTGACCGCGTACATAGTGTAAATTAATACCACGCGGAGTAAAGTACTTCTACAGTATATCAACAATTATGATTATAAATAAGATAAAAGAATAATTAAGCATTAAAAATAACAGATATTACACATATGGTTAACGCATTTCAGAAATAAAATTACTAATATTTGTCATTTTTACTTGTAAAACTATTAAAATCTTTAATATTTATATCTCTTTGCCAAATCAGTCGATTTTAGACTATTTAATTGAAGTCGTAGTGTTTTAAAGGCATTAGCTTATTGTAACAAAATTATCGATTTTAGTGTGAATAAGTATATCATTCTAGTGTTTTGATTTCCCTTGAAGAGTTTCATGACATCTTAAACTAGTGCTAATTGTAACGGGGACCGTTACAGATGTTCCCCAAACGCTCCCCAACTCCTTTTTATAGTGTAAGCGTAATTAATGACAAACTCTATGCATTTGAGACTTAAACAACGTTTACCCAGAAGTGTACCATGTTCATTCAAATTTTATCATTGCACTATTGCGCATGTGAATGCATGTGCGTAATGACCATATCATATTGTCTACACAATCTATATATTTTAATATGCTAAATATGAAAGTATTTAATTCAAAAGTATATAAAAAAAACGCTCATTCCAGTGTATTTTTTATTTTACCCATTTCACGTGCACGCACGTGCATACATGAGCATGGTGACCATACTTTCTTGTTGAAGTCCATTACATCTATCTATGTTCTAAATCCCACCCCGTTTGGTTGAAAACCAAGGGAGTTATAGCTGTTTTAAGTTTCAGCCAATCAGATTGCAGCGCACGTACACGCACATGTATGCATGTGCATGGTGACCATACCTTCTTCTAGAAGTCCATTATATATATCTATGTTTCAAATCCCATCCTGTTTGGTTGAAAACCAAGGGAGTTATAGCTGTTTAAAGTTTCAGCCAATCAGATTGCAGCACACGCACACCCACGTGTATGCATGTGCATGGTGACCATACCTTCTTGTAGAAGTTCATTATATATATCTATGTTCCAAATCCCATTCTGTTTGGTTGAAAACCAAGGGAGTTATAGCTGTTTAAATTTTCAGCCAATCAGATTGAAGCACACGTGCATGCACGCGTTTTCACGATGATTGCTATATATCATGTTGTAGGATATCCTAAAGCGTGGCTATGTTCAAAATTTCAAAAGATTTCGTTAAAAAACAAGAAAGATATTGAGACTTTAGTTTCAGCCAATCAGAGCGAAGCGCACGTGCATGCGCGTGAGATCTTGCTATTTACACCATGTCATATTGTCTATGGTACTAATATATCCTTATATTATGAGTTTCAAAGCATTTCATCAAAAATGTAAAAAGTTTCGCCCATATCAATTAAATCGGTCATTTCACGTGTTGCACGTGCACGCTCTTGCAAGCACGTGCGCGCAAAATGACCTTCGTTCCGCAAATCTACATAACATGCCTACTGACCCTAAAAAGGTTTTACCTAAGTCGGATGTGTAGTTTACAAGATCACTCCCGGACAAAAAAGTACCCAGGAAGAAGAAGAAAAATAATAATAATAATAAGAAACAGAGTAAAAACAATATGTTCCCCAACTTCGTTTGGGGAACATAACAAGCATATTGGAATCTTATATCGTTTAATTGATCAAATATTACAAACAGCTTAACCATCCCATTCAGTGCAATTATAATTGAAGACTTTTTGTATTACCATGTCGTTCAATTTTGTAGGAACTGGATTCTGATATTGTCTTATTTCATTAATATTCTGATATTGTATCTAGGCAGGGAAAAAATAAAAAAAAAATACATTATTCAATTAATCTATTTTCTAAAAATGTTAGCTGATTTTGCAACTATGCCATATTTGATTGTTAACCAAGAATTATTTTCTCAGAGATAAGGGGGTGGGGGGGGGCATAGAGAAAATTATTCACATTTTCTGTAGTAATCTGTAACCAGTTACTTAGACGAAAAAAGATATTGGTGAGAAAAATCTTGATAATTTAATAGAAAATAAATTAAAATTGTGTCAATTTAAACGCAATTTTATAAACTGTGAACGTTGATAAATTAGCGTCTGTGCATCTCTAATCTAGCTAATTTTAAGACCATTTAAGTCTCCTGTTTTTAGATCGTTGTGGGTTGGGGGTCAATTTTTGAAGTGTTATTTACTATTCAGACATCAAGCCATTACCCAGATTGGATTGTACTGTATTCCACTGATGATATAATTCATCAAAGAGTACAAGGAACTGGTTGTACTATAATGTGTATCTTACCCCATCTATCCAGGATATGAACTTTCATATGGGGTAATGGTATCCCAGTTGATTCGATGCAGATCAGGCTCTATGCATGATAAAGTTTCAAAACAAGGAAAACTAATAAGCAGCAAATCGATGAAATAAGGATATCAACAGTCTCGTTTGCAGTCATCATTTCGCAGGTTCTATATTAGATACAATGTTCTTGTCTGCTAATATAACCTGTCATCAGGGCAAATGCTGACTGACGTTTTTCATATTATTGTTAGGCTATTACTAGTCCCCTACCGGTGAAACCGGAGGGGACTATAGGTTTCCTCTGAGTCTGTCCGTCCGTCTGTTTGTCTGTCTGTTCGTCCGTCCGTCTGTTCCTCTGTCTGTCCCACTTGGTTTTCCGCATTTTTTTTTCTAAACGCTTGCAGATATTGCGCTTATTTTTGGTATGTAAGTGTATCTTGATGATTTGCGGATCAAGTTTGAATTTCGTTTTGAGACATTAATGTTTTTGCTTACTCCTCCATGGAACCTGATTCCGCTTCTGATATTCTTTCAGGTTTGTTCTGCTCCCGATTTAATTGTTTGAAGTGCATGGACTTTTTGAGCTTGTCTTTATATATTTCATTTTAAAAAAAAGTTGTCTATTATCTAACTTTAATTCAAAAGACAGAATAAAGAGAGAAACCACGGACACCATCACTTATTATTTCAACATCTTTGATACCCATATGAATTATATATTTTTATATTCATGTTTTACATTTGTTACTTTTAAATTGAATGTTCATTCTTTCATGCAAACACGCGATGTAGCTCATCTGTAACAGGTGTTATATCTATATTTATATAAATATACCTATATGTACATGTACTTTGCATAAGAATTAGATTCATTTTAACAGGGTGGATATCATTTTGCTTCAAAAATATAACCATGGAATCTTCGTGTCTTTTTATTTTGTTTTTCATTTCATTTTCTTTCAATTCCGAGAGATCTGTTCACACACTAAAAACCAGAGAGGACATCCTAATGAAAAACATTTCAGATCTGCATTTCCAGTTGTTTACTTCAATCCAAAAGAAAACAAAGTTGATTTAGGTATTAAAATTTATCAATTGTTTATCATAATTGTAAGGTTAAGCTGGAATCTATTGATGACAAAATATATCATAGGCTGCAGTGTTTGAAACTCAGTGCACCGGAGGAGGGTGTAAAATAAGTGACTGCGAGTCTGGTGGAAGCACAGCATGTGAAGGAAAAATGATGACAAAGCTGAACCAAATTCAGTCGAGAATCAATCATCTCTTCAAACGTAAGTGATTTCAAACACTTTTGAGAATTATTTTTAATAGTATTACAAAACATAAAGCCCCAAGGACACACTTACTTTATAGTGCAAAAGTACATACAAATACATCAGGTAATTGTCTCTGAATTTTGTTGCAGCTTGTAAGTCTGAATGGAAAAGGTACAACGGTCATTGCTATTACCTATTTAACCAGCGAAAAAATTGGTTTGAAGCACAGGTAATGCTTTGCAAGCTTCCTAGGCTGAATATACATATAAATGAATTAATTAATTTTAATTGATCAAATTCTTTTTCAGATAGATATATTGTAGAAATCAAGGGGCGACACTTTTGCAAATTCATGATTCAAGTGAAAAGAAGTGGCTATCAAAGAATTTTCCAAATGGTAAAACATTTTGTTTTCATTTTATATGAATCAAGCCTATATACAATTCATAGTACATATCCGAAAATAAAGATGCCGCTACTGATGCTCTGATTTAAGATCAAGATCGATTTAATTCGTCAATTGCGAGGAATGCGTATAAAATTCGACACATACACATTGGCACAAAGTAGGAGATAGTGTTATCTATCTTTAATAAGCGGCATTTTTGTTCGATATTCTCTCTCTCTATCTTTTTCTTATATTTTCAATTCTTCTGTGAAAATTATTTTTTGCAACGGAGACAACATTTTACTTAATTGAAACTGCGACAAAACATATTCATGAGTAAAAGAAATTCTCTAACTCGGATATTAATCGCGAATACAAGTTGCTTTACAGTATATGTAAAGTAAAAGAGCTAAATTTTAAACCAGTTCCTTACTGGATTGATCTTACCGATACTGGAGTCGAAGGGAAATGAATGATGTTCTCCAAAGGAAAGCCTATTCAGTTTAAAAGCTGGAGCAAGGGTCAGTCTGATGACTATAAAAATGGCCAGGATTGTGCCTATAATAACTTTGCAAGACAGCTCGGACTCTGGGATGACGGCAGCTGCTATAGTGCCTTCTATGTCGTTTGTGAATCGTAAGGCAAGCAAAGTTCAATTTCTGTGTTTTACCTTTACTTTTCCTTTAAATCAATAAAATTCTACGTTTCAAAGGAATTTTCAGAGATAAAATTTTAAAATTCTTGAATTACTCATTTGTTTCTGGTTTTTTTAGGTCTTGAATGATCTTGAATGTCCAAATTGTTTTGCATTTGAAATTGTAAATAAAGCAGCTTAATAAATCACGATTGCTTTCTTTTGTGGAAAACGTTGTGTGATTAGTAAGTGCAAGAGCATGTTGTGAGTATAAAATTAGGAGGTTTTTTTGTACCTATATGAGAAGTAATGAAAATTCTTGTAAAAAAGTAAGAATATGACAAAAAAAAATCAACGACACTAGAGTCAGGAACAAGTGCCTATGACGAGACATTTTTCGCTGATGACCTGCCACATCCGCCGTTAGCCACTGTACTGATAAGTTTGTCTGTGGTCAAAATATGTGTCAAAACAATGACCTAAATTTTGGTTTGAAACATGTCAGTCAAAATGCTGTAAAGCAATCGTTTGTATTTGCTAACAAGAGCAAATATATTGACCATAGACACGGCAAAATATTTTTTAAGTGGAATGAAGGTAGTAATGTAACTTCATTTTAATTGTCAGTAGCCTATCACCGACACGGTAGCTCAGTCGGTAAAGCGCTCGCTCCGTGTTCGGTAGGTCATGACTGACCTAACTTGATAAAAAAAAAAATCTAAAAAATTCAGAGTAAAATTTTTCGAAATGAAACAGTATATTGTCAGTCCGTGCTCAGTGGTACGTGTGTACAAACTCTGATAATTGAACACAACCGGTGAATCGTTAACATTTACAATAACACAGCTCGTGCCCTGTTTACAAAACCAGTTTATGTTTCACAGGTGTATTCAATTTGTTAAGCTTTGTACAGAACACTGAGCACAGACAGACGATACGACTAAGGGGGTTTTAATTAAAAAAAAATTCTACTCTGAATTTTGATGGACGTCAATTAAGCATTTAAATGTAGAATAGATCAATAGAATATATTCTATTCTTTTGCAGAATATTTGCTCAATATCTACATAAGAAAGAATTTTGGTACATGTAAGAGTTATGCAATGAAAATGAGACATAGATATTTTTGAGTTCTTAGATTGAAATTATTCTAGATTTTTGGCAGGATTTTGCTGAATACTTAGTCATTTCATTTCTCATCTTGTTGCTTTGTTGATCTTTCCATCTTTCCAAATGTTTGGCATCCGTACCTTAAATTATCATTAAAAACAATGTTTTGAAGTCAACTGAGAAATCAATAGAAGTCAAAAGTGTTCATTTAATTAAATAAAAACAAATCAGAGGCATACCTGGCTCATCGTGGTATGTACTGTTAAAAATTAATATAAATGCCATATATACATTTTTAAATTTTTAATTCATATGATTTTACTTGATTGTTGTCTGAATTTTTTCTGTGCTTATATTTTTTCCTAATGGAGAGAACTTTTTTTTACTTTAGTTCTCTAGTCTTCTATTGATTTGTTTCATTGAAATTTATGTTCAAAAGAGAAGGTATTGTGTAACATTAATGTGGTCATTAGAGACGTTCCAAATAATAATGAAAATGTATAATGAATTTGTAGAATAATATCTAAATGAAGACCATTTTTTCCTGATGTGTTGCATTATTTTGTAATATCTTGTCTTTGTGTGTTTCTAAGGAGAATCCTCATTTTAGATATTGGAACCCCTCATTTTTTAGCTCTACTGGTCAGAGACTATAGCAATGCGTCCGTCCGTCCGTCTGTCTGTCTGTTAACATTCCTTTTTACAAAATGCTACTCCTCCTACAGTTTTGGTCTGATTTCAATATAACTTGGCACACAAGTAGATTATACTAAGAGGAATAATTCTGTTTATCGGCTTTTAATTTCAATGAATGATGTTGCCGTTGTTACTAAAAATAAAACAAATCACTGTATAACACTATCAAAATGCTACTCCTCCTACAGTTCCAGTCTTATTTCAGTATAACTTTTCACACAAGTAGATTACACTAAAATACATAATTCTGTATATCGGTTTTTTGATTTCGATGAATGGTGTTGCCGTGGTTACTAAGAATAGACAATCCTGTTAAATACTCTCAAAATGCTACTCCTTCTACAGTTTAAGTTTGATTTCAGTATAACTTGGTACACAAGTAGACTATACTAAGATACATGTCTGTATATCTGTTTTTGATTTCGATGAAGATTGTTGCTGTGGTTACTTAGAATAGAAATTTCTGTGAAGTGCTTTCATGGTCATTTTCCCAATTTTTTTGGTTAATTTCACCATTATCTAGCGCACAAGTAGACAACACTAAGATACACAATTCTCTATATAAGTTTTTGATTTTAATGAATGGTGTTGCCATGGTTACTTAAAATAGAAAATTTTATGAAATACTTTAAAAATGCTACTCCTAATACAGTTTAAGTCTGATCATGATATGTGGCATGCAAGTAGACTAAAAAGAGATCTCAATTGTCTTTTATTCTTGATGAATTTGATTTAAACAATATTTTATTATGTATAAACATAACAGGATTGGACAGCAGGCACGGCCTGTATAAGTCCTCTCAATGATACAAAGATCAAGGTCATACATGCACAAGTAAATATTAGCTAAATAACATTGAAAAATATAAATATACACATGCATATATTCAATAGAAGTGTATATAAAAAACAAATTAAGAAGAAAAATATTATAAATGAATTGGTGATATAATTTAAATTTGCATTCTAATATATATGACTGACAATTATATTAATAAGTTTATAAAAATGATGTTGTCAGTCAGTGGTAACTAAAACTGAAAAATCTGTAAAATTTTATTAAAAGCTACTCCTACAGTTGTAGTTTTTTCGCAATCTACACAAAAAGAGACTTAATCAAGGATCTTTTTTCTGTTGTAAAGTTTCTAGTCCAAACTGCTACTTTTCTCTTCCGTTGTTGTAAGTACAAACCAGGAGTATCGACAGAGACTTTTGGTTAAAAGTATTTTCATACATACGTAAACGTTCTAAAAATACGTTTAAAAGCATTTAAGTACCCTCTTTTCACTAAAGCTTCTTGATATTGAGAAAAATTTTATTGTATTATAATGTAAATATTGACATGAGCTTGTCTATTTCATTTATATACGGTTCCCAGCATGAGAATTTCCGGCAAGAGAAATTCCAAGAAAAATGTTTATAAACAACGAAGTAAAAAATATACAGAAAACAATACTGAGCGTTGAAGTGGAGAAAATATATGCAAAAAAAGTTCAACTGATTTATTGTGATTAAATGTGAGGTTGCTAGCATGACTTGATCACAAATTGCACGACTTTAATTAAAAAAACGAACTCCTGGTTACTATTGGTGTTATTTTGTCTATGTGCTTGACAAGACCTCTAAATAATAAATAATTTTCATTGAGTGAAACCCTTGAGAAGCAGAAAAATTTCATTTATCTATTTTTCTGGTTATCAATTAATCAAAGAATAAAAAATGAAATGTATCATGATCGATGCATGTAGAAAACTTTGTCATGGGGTTAATTAATATTAATTCTTGATGTTCTAATGATGGGAGTTAAAAAGAATTCCTTTGGTCAATTACCACATACAATGGGAATTCAACTTGTAATCAAGATGCACATGAAAAATATTGTAAAATACACCCATGTGTAGGAATATTAAAACATCGATATAGAATTCAAAACCCATCTGTTGTTCAACAGGTCATGAAATTTGAAAACTGATATTAAATCAATCATGCATGGTTCTGGAGTATGCAATGAAGTTTAAATTGAGCACATTGATTTAAATCTGAAATATGATTATTTTTTTAATATCATGAAAACCCGAAGGAGTATTGCAATAGAAATGTAATATTTTTAGATCTTTAAAAAATAAGAATTACTTTGACTTCCTGGTAGGTTTTTGTTGAGAAGTCGTTTCATTTCTAAAGATGTTGCTTTGTCAATCTGTTTTGCATTAATTTCCCTCCGACCTCGGAGTCTCAACACCTTCCGTCCTTAAAAGTTCAAGTCCGTCTTGGCTTCCTAAAAAAACCAAAACAGATTGTCTCAATCTATGAATTTGTTATAAATAATTGTATATAGGTCAATATATTTTGATGCAAGCTGACACCAAAAAAAAAAATCATATTTCATCAAATCACAATTTAAAAAGGCATCTGCCAATTTATCGACCTATAAATTAAATTTCTTAATTTTGTAAATCCACTAAAAATTTCTTTGAAGGTATTGCTGTATCTATAGAATATGCATTACTTTCTATCATGTAACAAACCCTATTCGTGAGTATATTCATGAGAATCTCCCCCCCCTCTCTCTCTCTCTCTCTCTCTCTCTCAAACGAACAAACAAAAGATAATTGTTTCCATGCAATAAACTATACAAGTGTCAATGACTAGATTGAAGATACTAGTACTCTACATGAAAATGTTAGGAATAAACACACGTATCATCATATCTCCTACTGTACTTTTTATCTCCTGAATAAAAATCATTATCATGATTGAAGTATCGTGATTTGCATGTTTTTTTTTTAAAAATATCATGTTTAAGTTTTTTTTTTAATTTATATTTTTTGTAATTGATTATGATTTAGTTCAGAAATATGATAATTCTGTAATGGAGATGATTAAATAATTTGTAAACTTTTGTCATTTTTGCAATTCTTCCGTGCCTTTGAAACCTATGACAATGAGAAGGTATGAGGTAACATCAAGATCGTAATCAAAGACATTCAAAATCATAACAATGTATTTGCTATTCAGTTGGTAGTATTATCTAAATGAAGATCATTTAACTTGATATACTACATGTATAATTGTGACCTTGTCTTTGCCGATTTTTAAGAGAGAATTCTCATTTTAACGACAGATTTTTTAGATAACATTTTTCTAAAAAGTAAACCATCTAAAAAGAACACTATATTGAGGAAAATTCATTTATGGACCCTCTTTACATTGAAGCAAAATGTTTTTTTTTCTATCATTCTTCCTTTTTTGGACCTAGAGAAAAAAGATTTTGTCTACATTTGTGAATATGGGGCTTGTCTATTTCATATTCAACACAGAGTATTTGGCATTTAGCACCAAAACATTTTTATTTCAAAGACACTGAAGCATCAATATACAGAAATCACTGTGTTCTTATATAGGGAAAATAGATACAGATAAAGTGTTCAATTGTTTTATCTTGACTTACAATTGAAATTGTAGCTGTGTTAAAATACCACAAAATTAGAACTTATGGGAAAAGTTGGGAAAAATTTGGGAAAGACGTTAATGGTAATTTAACAACCAAGCTCCACGATAAACGTGATGACTTTAACTTTACAATCGTCAACTTCTCTTTCTTATGCAGCATTATTATACTTCTGTTAAAATGTTTCCTATATAAAGGAAAATATATACAGATTCAAAGTGTAGTCAATTTTTGCCTCCAATTTTGATGTCCAGCGATAAAGGTTGTTAATCTTGTAGGATTTACAATTGAAATTGTAGCTGTTAAAATACTAAAAAATTAGAACTTATGGGAAAAGTTGGGAAAAACTGACAGTTGATTCAACACGTAAGAACATGCTCTGCGTATCAACAATTTCTAAAACGAGGTAAATTATTGACAAAAAAGTTGATGAAGCAAAAATATCAACAGTGTCGTTTAAAGTCATCATATCGTAAGTTCTATGGACGATACGATGGCCTTGTCAGCAAATACAAATTATCATTGAGTCTAATGCTGACTGCCGTTTTTCATACTAATTGTAAGTCCATTACTTGTACACTGAATTGACGACGAAATTTTCCGCTATAAACCGATCATGACAAGGAGCACACGGCGGATGTGACCGGACAACAGGGGATGCTCATTCCTCCATGGCACCTGATCCCACCTCTGATGTTTTGAAGGTCTGTGTTTGCTCAAATCCTATTTTGTATTATTTTATGGACTTTTGATCTTGAATACTGTTCGTTATCACCATAGTTTCATCGAACAGTGAATAGAAGTTTCTTAAGGATTCTTCTCTCTTTTTAGGGTCGTTGCAATTAGATTTCTCCTTTCAAAGCTACAAAATACATACATTGTACTGGCGCACTTTTTCCCAAAATAATATTTTGATAATTTTTATTGCAAACTGTGCTAACAATTCATCTTGTTGGCTTTTAAAATTTACTACCTGTTCTACCCACTGGTATTGTTTACCGATCGATGTGAGTAGCATTACGCAACATTTCAGTTTACGGAAAATAGATGTACATTATGTTCAGTATTTCGGATTACTTTAGATTAATATTAGTGTGGATTCCAGGTTGCCATCTGGGACGACAAATAACTATTTTAAATCAACGAACGGGAAAAGCAATAGGAAATACATGTATTGTACAATTTTCAGGCATTTACCCAAAGCGCGGTGTTCAGTTGTAAATGCGTTATTTTATGCTTTATAAAAGATTTTGTTTTAATGTGTACATTGAGAGTTAAATAGCGAAATCTAATGACAAGGAGGAAGATAAATCTCATTATAAACGCTCATAAACAATTACATATGATGGGCGTTACCAGTTAATTTTTTAAAAGGATGTATGTAGAATGATTATCTCAAGAATATATGTAGATTGAGAGCTAATATAGCGCCCTAATGACAAGAAGTTAAATCTCATATAATATTATACACTTTACATATTATGAATAATCAGTTAATTTTTTGAAACTGTAAGACTAATTAAACTAATATATGTAGATGATTATCTTAAGATTTTAAGCGTGTTTGTAAAGGACTCTCGTAATAATTTAACAAACGACGAATTCAAATCTTCATGCTTAAGATCTTTTATTACGATTTTAACGCGGAAGGAAAATTAATTTGGAGTCCATACTGAGTCGGATGAAGACGATTCTGTCTAACACGCGACGTAATATAAAACATTTTCCCACTTATACATGAAATAAAACGCGTTCTGTTGACAGGGAAATACAAATGCCTACTTCCTGGTGGAGTAAAAGGGACAGTGGCTAGATGTGTTATTAATTTAGAATGACTAAAGTAAAGGTTATGATATGGATGTTACTCGTGGCACAGTTAAACGTGAATGTTGGTGCCTCAACAGGTTTGTGTCTTTTCAAAACCTTCAAAAATAATTTTCGTTTAAATCGGATGCCCTCTTCACATATCATGTTTGTATTTTGTTTATAGACTTTTTAAGCTTACTCATCGTTCGTTATCTTCAACTTTTACTTTACTTGACCTTTGTTTGACTCTTTATGCTTAATCTTAACTAATTTGCTTTAGAAGGAACCACCACTACTTTAAATCTAACAATCTCCGATGTGAATGTAACACCGCCGAATGGGATGACCCAAGGAACGGTTCAAGTAACGGCGACTGACATTTCTTCTTCTAATAACAATGTATCAGAGACAACGAGTACTGGTAAGTTTTTTTTTTTAAAGGGATGTCTTTGTCAGTAATATAACTGTGTTCAATTTGTTTTAATTTGTGGGTGCAACATACAACATTGAAACATATAAGGTTACAATTGTATACTCCTTAAACTTAGATTTTTTTTATACATGTAACTAAAGCAGTATTTATTCATCTTTACATGCATCGTACTAACGTCAAAACAGATGGCGATTTCTAGTGATATAAGAGTAGGATGAAACTATATTTTGTATTGAATTTTCTCTTTTACAAATCATTGTTTTAAGGCAACTAATGTATTATTTAAAAGATTTCTATGTGTGCAATGCAAAGGTAACGGTTTTTTAAAAAAATAAATAAATGCATAGTACTCACAACATAAAGATTTTATTTAGGAGTTTGAGTTTTTTAAAGATGAAACAACATCTTGTAACGAATTCTCCCTTAAATAGTATTCCATTTTTTGACGAAAAAAAAAACAAATTGATGCTGCAGTTACTTATCCTATGGAATTAGATAGAAACTTGATTTTCAAAAAAGATTATATCAGTGAAAAAAAGAGTTTTCAAAATGAAAAAGAAGATCACTGATCAGTCATGTGAATTTGAATGTCGTTATGTTCCCTATGGAAAAAAAAACTCTTGTTAAGAAGATTATACGATTTTCTAAAAATAAATACACTTACGGACAGGCCTAGATTAGAGATGTGCATAAGTACTTCTAATTGCAGTACTTATTGATGTGTTCATTTTACAAGTTTAACAAACGCCATTGTTTTTGGGTTTTTTTTTCGCTATACATTATCTAAATTTAAGCAATTATTTGAAGAAAAATATCAATTTTTATTGCTTGAACTATTCCAATAAGATAAAGCATAATACTGTCATTTGTACAATACCTAACGAATGGTGTTTTTTATCAAAGATTCAACTGAACTTGGGAATACAACAATTACTACGACTACTACAGAAACAATGAGTACAACAAAAGCAATAGAAGAAACGTCTACACAATCTTTACAGCAGAGCACAACAACAATCAAAAATGCATGTTCAACGTCATCTTTTGGACCTAGTAAAATGAATTTTGGTAAATTTTATTTTATTTTTTCCTTCTATATAACAATATTAGTTTCTATACATACATACATGTATATCTTTTTTTTTATTTTTTTTGGAGCAGAGCAAACCCAGGCCTCTAAACGTTTTAATTTTCAAGTTTCCATTATCTAATTTTTTCAGTATTTTATTATTGTGATATAAAGGGTGTTAAGAAAGTTCGTTCCCCATTTTTCTTTCATTTTCGACAAGAAATACGATGAAAAGATATTTACAATTTGTGATATTTCATGTTTAAAGAGTCCATTCTTGCTATATGGTAAGGTTTTAACTGTCTTTTGTTGAATCAATAAGGGTAGGGAAGGTATTAAAACAGATGATGTATGTTCAGAAAAATTAGGGATAAAGCATATTTGTGACATATATTAAGCGCAAAGGTCTAAACATCTTTTTAAATATTATGCAAAAATTATCAAATCTGTTAAAAATTTCAAAATGACAGACTATTTTTTTTTTAAACGTGATCTATTGTTCTTATACATATGCTCATCAGCTTGTCTGATGCAAGATAATCTATGAAGAAACAAAAGTAAATTATCTGTTATTTTCACTCAAAATAACCAGCATTTCTATCATTCGGCTGTTGTAAAGATGTCATATATATTTCCATATGGAAGAAAAATCCAATATCTTCCTGCTAGGAATGAATTGCTATAAATCCAAAGCACACTCCTGTAATTTTATCAGACTTGAAAATTCATCTCTTTACTTAAGCACTACTTTGATATTTTTGAAAATATTTCATCATGGAACGAACTTTCTTAACACCCCTTAGTTATAAAATTGTAAAGATCCAATTTAAAATAGGAAATGATTCCTCTCAATCATCTGACTTTTTAAACTTTTAAATGATTATAATAACTTCATTAGATTAATTCACGTTTTAAATTGTGTTGAAAATGGAATCAAATATATTCTACGCAGCACAAACAAATTCAAACCACATGCATTGGTGGGTCTTTGAGACTATACACGCAATTTTTCTTTCTCTAGTTTGTTAAAACAATTTGTTCGAACTGATATAGGGAAAAAATATTTTTGATGGATATTTCCAGCGTCCTTGATTGCGATGTCAGCGGCCGGAGGTGTCATAGTGCTAAGTGTTATATGGAGTATTTGTATCTGCTGTTGGTACAGGCGCAAGTTGTAAGCAGTTTATATAACATTCATTGATTTGCATGGAACATAATTTTTTTCATGAAAAAGGTCTGTTTTTATATGTATAAATTGTTGGTCAAAATGAGTCCTATACCAACACTGGTAAAATCATGGTAAAATCATGTCCATTCTCGCAAGGGTGCAAGGCTTAGAGCGAATCCATTTGAATTTTATACGTTGAAAAGTCTGCAATAATTTTCTTTACTCTGAATAGGAAAAACGTATTCTAATGCAATTGTTTTGTAAAACACTTTTTCATTGGCTAATGCACTGATGTTTGAAGCAGTAAAACGAGCATTAACGAGCGTGAAAGCTTTTTCATTGTGACGTCATAATAGAGCGACGCAAAAACACAATGCTCCATGACGTATTTCATGTAACAAATTCATCAAAATAAGACGTAAACAACAAACAAATGCATGGATTGCATTAGATTGGGAATAACTAATCTTCTAATTTGGTATTTGCGACTGTTAATGCTGATTTAACGGTCATTGATTTGCATGGAACATAATTTTTTTCGAAAAAGCTCTGTTTTTACGCGTCGCCGGTAAAACTCCTACTCCAAAATTGGTAAAATCGTTAAATCAGCATTAACAAGGCTTAGCGAATCCAAATTTTATACGAAGATAGTTATTCCCTAATTGGTGAGTTGAGATCCATTGAATAAATGAGCTAATTACAATGTAAATCTTTTTTAGTAATCGTTTGTTATCTGAAAAGAAGTCTGAAAATGATGCTGAAAAAAGTGTATTGCTACATGAAATGAATGGCAGGAAAGCGTCTGCAGTTACGTACAGAGGGGATAATGTTGATAAAGACTTCAGCTCTGGCGTATTGAGTACCCATAGTAAAGTGGACGAAAGCGATGAACGAATGAGCGATTTGTATGACGTCACGGATCCAGACTATGAAGACGCAGACAAAGAAATGAAAGTAAAAGTATCTGAAAAATCAAGAAAAGTCAATGACGATGATGAAGTTGAAGATGGCGAATACGACATTCTTAATATTGAAGACAAGAAGGAGAAACGTGAGAGTGATTACGCATGCGCAGAGTTTAAAAAATCAAAAGATGACGTCGATTGCGATACATACGATACAACAGAAACGTGTAAGAGAATAGTCTGCAATGGTAACCATAAACATGGAAACGGTGAAACGGACGAGAGGCAACAAAACATAAAAACGCTGATTCGTCGGAATCAAATGGACAAATAGATCTAGTTAGTGCAAATTCCGAAAACAAGACGGTCGTGTCGAAGGACACAAATGAAGAAATAAAATTCCTAGAAAACCCAAATTTGAATAATATTGAAGAGGGAAAATGTATTAAATCATATGAAAAAGATGTGAAAAAAGAAACTGGTACTGAGAACAAACCTGCATTCAATGGATATGAGCTTGTGAAGGTTGTCGACGAAAAAGATGACTCCGTGAAAAGTGATGTCAGAAATTCAAAGGGAGACACCAAGAAAGATGAAACTTTGGAAAAAACAAATACTAGTTTGGAAACCATCGAAGTTTGAAAAACACTGAATAGATTGAGCCTTGCGGAACAAAAAATATTTAAAAATAATTTGGTATTCCTAATACCAGTAGCATTCTTCGATGTTTTGGTGTTATCAAAATTTCTTTTAAGAATACTTTGATGTATTGGTTGACAAAATTTAAGGTCAGATAACACATTCCTCAATAATATATTTTCCTAATAAATGTAGTCTGTCAATATTTTAAACATATTTTATTGAATAACTCAAAAAGGATATATAATAGGTCAAGATACAGATATTAAACTATAATACTTGTACATGATAAACAATAAGCTTATAATGAAAAATAAAGACTTACTATCAATTATTATTCATCGGTATTAATAGAAAAGATGACAACAATATATTGTATAAAAATTATTTACATACTGTTCCAGTTTAAATACAGTGTTGTAGAAAAATATGTACATTTTTGAGTATTTGAAACGTGTCTCACAATGTTCTTAATTACTCTCTCTAAGTAGATTTTAATAAATTCATGTACATTTGAAAATATTTACAGTGTGTCATTGAAATACTGTACCAGGCAATCCTGCAATATACCTGAGAATGGGAATCACAAGCATTGCCAAATCGCCCAATACCACAATTTTTATGGTTTTTAAATATTCAGACATTTTGAAAACAATTTAAAAATACGTAAAAATAATAATTAAGAAAGACAAAAGAGAGGTCAATTCTTTAACCTAAAATTCAAGAGAGTGCCTGCCTATTTTACCTATAGTCAGAATAAACTTAATTAATCTAATGAGTACTTTTCTTTAAGGCTCGTTTTTCAAATGTGCATTTTTTAATTTTGAATAATAAAAGAATGATATTTCACCTTAAACTTTAATAATTTTGATGACCAAAAGTTTTGAGAACCATTGGCAGATAATTCTTTTTTTTTTTTTTTTTTATCAAATCCTTTAATTGCAAAAACGGGAAAGCTATGAATTATTTTACGTGTCAGTATTCTTTTTTCTTAGAAAATGCATTTAATTAAATATGAAATTTGGTGAATAAATGCGGATAATGTCTTAAAACATTTATCCATTACAAACATACTTTTCTTTTGACTACTAAGGAAACTTAAAATTTATATACTTATTATTTTAGTACATGTACGTGCTCATCAGCTGGTTCGTATGGGTATCAATCTTTCCTATTAAGAAATGGTGTTTATCTGTATAAGGAAGGAAGGTCAAAAATATATTTAAATGCACATTCTGGAGGAAGTTCGAAGATATTGTTTATCATGATCCTTCTGTTATTAAATATATTCTTCCTCAAACATCTCTTACATCCTGAGTAGTAGCCAATGCAACTTTTGGAGTATGATAGGGTGTGCCCTGTAGAAGTGCAAAAATGTTTGAAAACAGACGTCAAAATCAGCAGGTTTGATAAAATACCATTTAGGAGCAAAATATCCTGTCTCTCGGGTAACATCCACCCTGTGCTCCTTGTCATGATTGGATAAACGAACAAACCAGTCTGTAAATAATGGTCTAACAACTGGTTTCAAAAATGACAGTGGACATTCCTTTGACATAATGATAGGTTGAATTTGCTGATAAGGTCAATGTATCTAATGTAGAATTTGCAAAATGTTAATCTTAAAGCAGACAATTGATATCCTTATATCGTCAACTCATTTGCAAGTAGCTTGTCTTGTTTAAAGATACACCCTATTGGACCATTTTGTTGTCGAAAACGCTACTGTCTTTTATGAACTAAAACGAAATAGTATTAAATATATGATTCCAAGAAAGAAAGGGACATAAATCTAGACTATTCCTCTTGTTCTTCCTCGACCTTCTCGTTTTGCACTTTTCAACCTGTTTATGTACATCGTAAGTTTGCATCAAGGCATGATTTTATTTAAATAAAAAACATCAATTCAATTTTGAATTGCATATTTCTTTCAAGCAGAAAAAACGGGAGAAGTGATAAGAAGATTTGAGCTTCTGTGATGTAGTTTATACTGGATAATTTTGCCTTGTACCAGACAAATTAAAGCTAGTATACTCATGATACTCGTACACATGCAACGACAGGAGATGGACAGGGAGATCAGAGATTGTCAGGGGACGACTGGGAGTAGACAGGGTAGATAGGAACAACGACAAGGGATCATAGGAGAAAGTCAGGGAGCAGGAAAACGTCAGGGGCTGACAGGGGAACGGCAGGAATCTACGGGGAAATTTAATTCAGTAGTGATGGTTTGTCCAAAAGTTAAAATTATTTGATTCAATTTAATTTTGTTTATATAAATCACTCAATCTGATACATCGAGAATAAATTTTTAAAAGATTCAATAAAGAAAATGTATGGGCCAGGGGGCCAATTTAGATCTAGCAACTGCTTGGGTATTGCGCAAATATGTAAGGAATCACTGTGTATTTTTGGTCATGACAGGGTATCAACTCTGGTTGGAAACGTGGCGACAGGCGTTACGTGACATACACAATAGACTAGACACATAACATTTTTCCTCTTTTTACTTCTTTTGGAACATGCCTCGAACATAACTTTTACTGATAAATATGGTCATTGAAATGCTGGTTGCCCCCCCCCCCTCGCCAAACTTTTTGCTACATTGAATTGAAGATAATATAATATTTTATGCAAAAACGTTGGTACTGGAAAAAGTTGGTATTGAAAAAGTTGGCATCAACACCCATCCTACCCCAACTCCCACCACCCCGACCCCCGCAATAGGTTTTTGAAGTGTGTATGATATCCTTTTTTCCTTGTCAACCCCTTCAGGGTAAGTAAAAAAGATATTTTCTCTGACTGGCTCCCTCCCCCCCCCCACTTTCAAAAACAATGCTACCTCACTGCTTCAGCAACTCAACGTACAACATAGTTATCCAGGTAAAAGCAAAGATCAGTTCAGTATTGAAAAGTTTAAATATAAAAGTGGGATCAGGGGAGGGAGGGAGGTATTTGAACAAACTCAAATCTACACTTCCTAAGGATGCTTTTAAATTAATATGCCATGCCACATAATACCTTTGCTTTCATATGATAAAAACTTCTATTGATATATAGCCTTAATATCCCATACCTTTGCATAACTTTGATCCACTTCAATGGCTCCTCTATCCTCCTGGTTGGTCAAGATTTTCCCACTCCCCCTCCCTCTCTTCCATTCCCTGTCTCTCACCCACTCTCCCCACTACATCTCTTACATTCTCCCTTCTCACGCCCATTCCCTTCACTCCCTCTCTCCAAAATTCTTCCCACTCCCTCTCTTTCCCATTCCTTCTCTCCCCCACTCTCTCTCCTATTCTCTCTACTCCCTCTCCCACTTCCAATCTCTCTCTCTCTCTCCCGTTCTCCCAACTTCCTCTCTCTCCTATTCTCTCTACTCCCTCTCCCACTTCCAATCTCTCTCTCTCTCTCCCGTTCTCCCAACTTCCTCTCTCTCCCACTCCCTCTCCCACCCCTTTCTCTCTTTCTTCCACTCCCTTTCTCTCTCCCACACTCCTTTCCTCTCTCCCACACCCTCTCTCCCATTCTCCCCACACACTCTCTCTCTCCCATTCTCGCCACTATTTCTCACCCATTCTCCCCACTCCCTCTCTCTCTCCCATTCTCCCTGCTCCCGCTCTCTCTCTCCCATTCTCCCCACTCCTTCTCTCTCCCATTCTCCCCACTCCCTCTCTCTCTCCCATTCTCCCCACTCCCTCTCTCTCTCCCTTTCTCCCCACTCCCTCTCTCTCTCCCATTCTCCCCAATCCCTCTCTCTCCCTTTCTCCCCACTCTCTCTCTCCCATTCTCCCCACTCCCTTTCTCTCCCATTCTCCCCACTCCCTCTCTCCCATTCTCCCCACTCCCTCTCTCTCCCTTTCTCCCCACTCTCTCTCTCCCATTCTCCCCAATCCCTCTCTCTCCCTTTCTCTCTCCCACTCTCTCTCTCCCATCTCCCTCACTCCCTCTCTCTCTCTCTCCATTCTCCCCACTCTCCTCTCCCATTCTCTCCTCTCCCATTTTCCTCTCTCCCATTCTCCCCACTCCCTCTCTCTCTTTCTCCCCACTCCCTCTCGCCACACTCTCTCTCTCTCTCCATTCTCTCTCCTACTCCCTCTCTCCATCTCTCCCATTCTCCCCACACACTCTCTCTCTCCCATTCTCCTCACTCCCTCTCTCTCTCCCATTCTCCCCACTCCCTCTCTCTCTCTCCCATTCTCCCCACTCCCTCTCTCCCTTTCTCCCCACTCCCTCTCTCTCTCTCCCATTCTCCCCACTCCCTCTCTCCTATTCTCCCCACTCCCTCTCTCCAATTCTCCACACTTCCTCTCTCTCCCATTCCCTCTCTCCCTTTCATCCTCCCCACTCTCTCTCCCTCTCTCCCTTTCATCCTCCCCACTCCCCCTCTCTCTCTCCCTTTCTCCCCACTCTCTCTCTCTCCCATTCTCCCCACTCCCTCACACTCCCTTTCTCCCCACTCCCTCTCTCTCCCTTTCTCACATATTAAAACATATTCACAAAAACTTGAAAATAAATCACTAATCAGTAATCAATATCTAGTTTTACTTAATTAGTCCAAATACCAGTTAATATAAATCTGATTCAGAACAATAAAATTTAAATTAATGAAATCAAAGTAATTGCAATTCAACTAATTTTATTTTTTAAGAAAACAAATTTATGTAGCTCAGAAAGAAACAAAATCAAAGAATGTCAATTTTTTTTTTAATTTAAGGAGGAATGCCATTTTAACATTTTATTTCATAGATCTTTCATCTTTAATTAATAATCAATTCAATTCTTTTCTTCCTTGTATCAACAGATACATCAGATTAACATATCAATTACATATAATATACATAATTGCCATGTAAACATATATTACAATGTATTTACACAAGCATTGATAAATGTGCATATCTATCCATACATATTATTGTGATATCATAATAATTAATCAATATTAATCATTTTTATTACAAATTTATTTTACTTTCCCGCAAATGATATGCTTCTATGCTTCTCTTTAAAAAAATTCCCCAGACCTCTTAATTCCCTTACATTTTGAACACTAAGTAATTTTATTAATTTATATACCGTAAATCTGGAAATTTTTACGTCGATTTTATTTTGCGAATTCGGGTCAAAATGGTGTTGATTAATTTTTACGTTTCAAAATTTTGCGAATTACCACTGATTTGTTTACAATTTCTTATTGGTGATTTATTTTTAAGAAAAATATTTTTGCGAATGCAATGAACTCGCAAATTTGCTAAAAATTTATCTACAGCAAAAATTTCCAGATTTATGGTATACACTATTATTTTGATGATAATATTTTTAAATATATTTCTTCCTTAAATTCTCATATGTTGGACATTGTAAAATGAAATGAAATTCATCTTCTATTTCATTTAGAGTACACAAAATGCATTTTCTATCATTTCTATTGGTATTCGTGTATCTACCCCTTTCAATACATAAGTTGTGATCAGACATCCTACACTTTGAAATTATTTCTCGATTTTTAACACTTAA